GGAAAAGAAGAATAGCGAAAAGCCCCGCGCAATGAGGTCTGGCCGACGCCCGCGCGATCCGGCTCATCGATTCCGCGAAGTCTAGCTCGATCGAATGGGATGAGAGTCGCGTGAGCGTGTTGAAATCCATCGACAAAATCAACAGACTCCCCAAAGTGAAACGAACGTCGGTTGTCCGCTCCCTCGCTCGATCGCCACTTTGTCGGTCAATAAGTTTCGGATCCGGAAGGCCTTGCGGTGGAACTGCAGGCAGCAATCAGCGACCGACAGAAGTAACTTCGCCGCTACGCGATAGCCGCTGTCGTTGTTGCTGGAGGCCGGACCAAACACCAGACAATAGTGCCAGAAGTTCCGGAATAGGCTTCTGTTCAACGTTCGCCTTCCTGCCTGGATTCCAAAGCCCCTCTGCTCGTAGAAGCAAGACTACAGAGAACGAGCAGTGAAGAGCCCCGGTAGAGAGTGATAAGATGAGATATCTCCTTTATTTGCGGAGAACAAATTCAGGAACTTTTTAATTTACATAAGACTAGGGCCCGAAGATCGGGGGCTTCGCGTACCCGTCTGGCGACGCGCCACGCGAGAGCGTTGTCAACAACAAAGCTCTTGGCAAGTTCGAGGGGGCCGATTGAAATGACTCTGCGGGTCTGAGACGAAGAGTGGATGAAGAAATGCGACAGGTAGTCCTCAGAGAGGATGCGTCTGAATGCACGGTCGTCTACGGCCTGGTGCCATTGATCCAGGAACGAGGCCTCGAGGGACTTTCTCTTCAGCCAAAGTTGCACTTGAACGTACGAGCCGGCTGTCCCACCGGAAACCATTGTGTGATTGATCATCTCAATCAGACGAAGGAAACAAGGAGCCGCACGGGCTTCCTCATTTCGATATTTTCTCATTAGTATGGACATGGGCGCGCGTCGCAAGAACTTCAGTTTCCAGCCCTTCCATTGCCATCGACAGGCATGCATTTGACGTAACTTGGATTTCGGCGGATTCAATGTTCGTCGCATTGACACGCAGAAGTTCAGCGATACAAGTGTTTCGCAGCTGGACATCTGATCATGAACAGAAGCCCAGCCAGAGACCGTAAGATCTGAAGACGCTCGGTACAGATCATCGGGGGCTACCGCGAATGATAATGTTCATCGTATCGACAACGCCGAAGGCTCACCGATATAGAATCAGTGCGAAGGATGGAACCCACTGGGAATCTCGAGTATTTCCGGTCCGTATCAGATCCCGATCAGAAGATCCGTGACTGACGGTGGAGAAGCTAGGCGGGTCTCGTGACCATGATTGCCGCTCCGAAGGCCGGCAGCGGTCTAGGAAATGCCATTTTCCGGAATATCGTTGCAGAAATGAGAACCTCGATTGAAAAATTCCGCGGCCGCTTGATAGACGAAAGATTGTGTGTCTCATGCCGGGTTCCTGCTCCTCTCGTGCATGAGAAAGAAAACCCCGTGCGGTTAGCTTGGCTGCTCGATTCGGAGAAGAACAACAGACGCCGTCCCGGCGTCTAGGATGTTGAACCCTTCAAGATTCAAGGATGCGAATGGGATACCTATATGAAAGCGAAGGAACAGCAGAGAAGCCGACGGGAAACTCCTGTTTGGCTCGAACTTGGGAGCTGATGGAGAAATCCGTCCTCACAGCTGTGATGTGCGGAGTCAGAAATTCCGTGACGCGACCAAGCAACAGATGAGCATGGCAACAAGCCGCCGATATGCCAGAGGATCCGTGCCCGCATCGAACATCCGAAGCGCCCTGCTCAAGTCAATCGAAAACAAGGCCCAAGGTCGAGGGTAATCGCGTCGGGGTTCTTCCAGGGGTCCTGGAATTCCTGGAGCCGCTTAAACGTCTGGTCTGCAGGAAGCGAAGGCCAAACTGGCGAAAACCGGACACATCGGTTTGAGGATGAAACGAACGATTTCGACGGCCGAGATGATTCATGGAAGAAGAAACTATCGCTTAAGACGACAACCAATAGTAACGAGCATCGAGGGCGTGAGAAACGAGTTCAAGGCGAATGTACTGAATTGCTTTTCGCCGAGTGAAAGCTCAATACCCTACAAGTCCGCTGTAACGATATGATACCTCACGCTGGACTGCGATTCGGACGACACACGCACCGTGGAGCCGGCGGCGCCATCTGTGGTGAGAAAGCGAACCACGGAAGGAAAGGCTCGAGAGAATTCCCGACTATTTATAAGCTCCCGTCCCCTGCCGATGCACGGGTGAAATATAGAATCACCTTGAGTCCTCAAAACAAAAGGATTTGAAATCGTTTAGATAAGGTGCTGGAAAAAATTATGAAGATAGATTGAGGCAGAGTTAAGGACGAGGGAGTGGTAGTATGCAGGCTCACACGTGAGAAAGTTGAGGATTTTTCGCTCTGCAAACTTTTTACACCGTAAGAGAGGTCGATGCCGCTGAAGTCAGAGACCGATGGGCAGGAGGGAGTGCCGATGATGCAGCGAATGGAAAGTCTCAGTGCTAGACCAGATCAGCCCGAGGTTAATGGATAAGATGAATTTTCCCCATTGTCACGCTACGACCCAATTAGGAGCTCGTGGAGCTTGAATTCTCACAATGACTCGGAACGATCAGCATATTGTACCTTCGGAGTTTTGTTCTCTTCCATGCGACCAAGAGCCCAATCGCAGAGCACTCCTATATCCTGACGTAACACGAGATTCCTCCTCGATATATCCATCGCAGTCTCAATTCGAAACTCAATGAGCCCGAGCCCGACGATGGCGAATTCGCACCAAGTTCCTCCAGCACTTAACTCTGACTGAGCACAGTATACCTCTTGGGGTATCAGTTGTTATCACCTGCGGTTCGACCGCATCACTCGCCGCAGAGACTCGAACTCTCAATGGAGAGTTTCGCTGGGACAAAGTCGCGAATCTCACAGATTGACTGAGGGGCCGCGTTAGTAGAGAGGTAGGCACCGCTGTTGAACTGACCCTCCTCACAACTGGAGACAACGAATGACAGACTGCTAGTCGAACAGACTTCGTCAGAGCACCCTACCCACAGGACCACTGCTATACTCAACTAAAACAGGATGACGAGTGGTTCCGAGAGACACAATTTCAAATCGTAGAATCATGAGACCGGAAAACCACGTGCTGGGCTCTTCTTCATCCCTAGTCCGTGGCACGTTTTTCGCTGGCAACGACTATTGACCGAGCGTTCAACGTAGGAACGTGTGACGTTGATAGCTCGGATAAGGTTCAAACTTTTCGGACAATATCCTGAATCAGACTGCTTCCCAAGAGGTCATACCAGGTTCATGGAAGAAATCTACGACTTTGGTTCGAACTCCACTTCCAGGGAGCTATCGAATAATCCTTCGATTTCTGTCGTGCTTCGGAAACTAGAAGACAATTGACGACCCACGCTCCCTGAGCCAATGCTCGAGAATCGTAATAAGGTCGCTTGAGTGAGCCCGATTCGCGAAGGTTTTTTTCGACATTGAATTTGGTGATCGATCCGGATCTCAAACCGCAGACCAATGGCGCAGTGATTCGACACTTGACTTTGTCTGGTTTTCTCTTTCGCCTGATTCTACACGCTTCCACAGAATGGATATGATACAGCGTGGAAGAAAGTTTTGATGTTTGCGCTTTCGTGACACACCGGAGCGAGTTTGACAAGAGCTTGACACAAGTGAATGGTGGAACTACAGGCGGAACAGAACCCGTCAACGTCGGCCCAGATAGCGATGATGACATGCAAACGATTAGAATGGGGCTTCGCTGAGCTTATGGAGCCCTCCATAAATTATCTGGGTAAATAGACCGAAATCATCTACGAACTGACGATATAACGATATGCATACATCATTGCCCTCTTCCTTCAAATACGTCGAATCGTAGGAGATAATACTTCCTAAGGAAAGTCGTCACGTCTGAGGTCGACTTCCGCATATCCCGGGGTCTCGCCCATTCAATACAATGTATGCAGCAAAAAACTTCGGTCATCTGTTGGAAGGTTTTCGCTGTCCGAGTGATCCGGGTACTCCGGATGGGATCGCTCGCAGACATGTGTCGACACAGACTCACGCAGAGCTGCAACAAGCCCTCCGGAGACAGGAGACACAGCCCTCTTCTAATTCATCATCCGTATAAACGTATTGTATCATGATACAATTACTATGGTTTTTGCAACAAGCCGTTTTTGGCAGCGCGATCCGATTCCTTCCGCCGGCCGTGATGATTCTTAAAGCCGATTCCCGGAGCGAATACACGAAGATCGGACCTGACTCGGCTCAGATCTCAACATCGAAAATTCTGTCGTCGTCATATAGTTGAAAACCATAGTAATATAATCGAATGGAGCCGGAAAAATTCAGCGCCCTCCGCGGACACTCGATCTACGCTATCATTTCCTACCGGTCACGAACATAGTCCCGGATCCGATCGACAGATCATCCAACGAGCGGGAAAATCGAGAACGAAACAAAGTTCGATTCCGCCCGATTCTTAATCTCTACCTTCGACGCCAATGTATTTTCCGCGATGTCGATGGCTATCTCCCTTAAAACTCGGACAGTCGTGCGCGAAAATAGCCGAGCGCTACCGGACGGCACAAAGCCGTCTGACTGACTTATTCGTCCCGTGTCAAGATCATCATGAAATTTGGAAACATTACCGCGGCGGCCGCAGACATGCTCGGTCGCCGAGACGTCGGCTGGCGTTTATCCATTAACCCAGAATATGTGAAGGGCGCTCCCTCGTTAGCTTGACGTAAATTCCGTCCGTTGAAAAACTAAAAACCGTACAGTGATGGAGTCGGGCTGAAGGCTCTTGTTCTAACGTACAGGTGCTGTCTGACTTTTTCTGAATGGATGACCGACCGTGGGTTCCTTGTAGGGACATCCCAGCTCTGGTTCCTAAGCGATTGCCCTTCTTCGGGAATCCGAAGCCACACCGAACTCTCCCGAAGACACTGCGGGAAGCATTTTTCAAAGCTAACGATCTCAGTCGAGCACTTACATCGATTTCCTTTGACTGTTCCTCGATAACGGCTTGCAAACGTCGGACGTTCTCCTCCAGCTCATGATTCCTTTCCAGGAGAGTTTTCCCAAGTTCAGCTGCTAGTTGTAAGTCTGTAATCAAATTGAGCTCAGTCAGTTCTTCGATTGCAAAATCGTTCGGGTAAGGTTCTTTCGGGTTGTCATGAGGTAAGCTCCCACCAAGTTCTTCTGATAGATATTTGATCTGATATCGAATTGAGCAGATATTTCATCTACTCCCTGCGACGAAAACTTATTCAATTAGATGAGCATTCGCTTGCGACTCGGCGCATGAGAACTGTCTCGTCTCCTGCACGAAGTCTTTGATGTCTATACGTCCTGGAGGAGTCGACCAATCTCATCTGATCACTTGATCACAGGGGGATCGGATCCGCGGAAGCAGCGGCTTTGAATCATACGTCGATGTTTTGCTCCGGCAACGCATCTTATTCGCTGGAATTCTCGGGGCATTCTCTCGGAACTAGGTCTATAGTGCTGTTCTCCGTTAAGTCGATCATGATTCAGGCTCGAAGCAAGCTCCTTCTCGAAACAGGGACAAGATTTCGCGACGGTGTCCACTCCAAACGATGGCGGAGTGATCGCGGCACATGATGAAATTTCGAATGATTGATCCGAGCAACGGCATTGCTCGACGAACGTTTCCGCCCTCGGATCCGATTGCCCCGTGCACGTGGCACGCGCCATGTACGAGCACCGAGATACAGCCGTCCACTTATCCAATCGACCGATCGTTCATCTTCGCGTCGATCGCGGATCCGAAACAAGTCACTCCGCTCCTCCGCAAAACTTCAACATTATGCTCCTTTTCTTTGTCCCGCTCGCCAAGGAATCGTCATGCAGAGAAAGTCACATAAAACATCGGGAATCCGATTTCGAATGCTGTTCTGCAACAACCGATCGCACAGCGGCGAATACCGTCCTCCTCAACCGTGGGCAAAACTTCCTTCGAATATACGCTCCGAGAAAGAACTCCTTACCTCGGGGCGTGTCGCGCAACTCGTGTTAAACTTGAGTCCTTCCCGAAAGTGTCAGAACTCGGTTCGGAATCCGGCGCTCACGGTTCCTCGGACCCCCATAAACGCAAGTATGTAAACGCATTTGTCAGACAGAAACGAGTGTCACAATGGGGCTTTTTTTTCATTGCAGCTTTGTTGTGAGAAATCCCGGACGGAACATCAAAGGTCAGAGAAATCATATCAACAGAGCTTCGGATAGTCACGCGGGGTTGTGCGAAGGCCCCGAAGATCTGAATTCCGAATATTAGGAAACCTACGGCTTCGACCGGAATTTCGGCTGGCGAAGTGGAACTACGAAACTCACTGAAAACGTCGTCATTGTATTCGGGGTTAGCCAAAGCTTCTGCGACATCCATTTCGAGTTTTTCGCGGAATCACAGCAGACGCACCTCGTGTCACCGGAGATCGGAACACAAACGATGAAGCGCGAGTGCGCTCGCGTCAACGTGGGGGTATGTCGCACATCATGGACGTCTACCTCACATCACGAAGCCCGCTGCGGTCCGCGACCGTCGCAGTGGAAATGCCACGCGAGGTATTAAGAAGGAAGCTTCTAATTTTTCAGTTCTCTCTCGATCCGGATCAGTAGATGGCGTGATGTCCGCCGTGACGGCTGCGGGATCGCAGATGGAATGAATCAAAACGACGACAATCCAACCGTAGTACACCCATTAAAATTCTCCCGCGTGTTTCCGACACAGCCCGAGAAACACACGGCAGCTATACACGAGCCGAAAAGTACTCGCTAACGAACAACCAAGCGTCGAGACTCCCTTGATGGTCATTAGCTCCGAGTATCCCAGGCAGCCCGACTTCCGACCCCGAAGAGCATCGATCCAGTTGGTCGGGAGTCCCCGCAAAATAGTCGTCTCGTCACTAGCGACCGGTGCGGAAGCGGCGAACAGCAATCGACAGTTGTTGCTCTTTCTGTCGACTTACAGTGATCCGTTCGTTCTCTTACTTTACGAAAGCGTCGCAGTCTATCGGATGCGAGTCATGAGCCATCGATCGAGAAGTGACGCAAGATCGACGGATGAGCGAACATCGGCGCTTATTTAGACTGGGCCTGCTGCAAGTCATTTACGAAAACTAGGATTCTTTCACATCGCAAGAATCTATGCATCGGGGAACGGAATTCGACTCTCTCAGGATGATTACGCTGTCTAGAAATTCGACGGGGTCCTCAAGCGCTTCAACCAGACCCTCAATAGCTCACAGATTCTGGAGCATCTCCTCGCTCTCAGGCTCGAGTCGTGGCGTACGACGTAGAGACACCTGGCGGAGCCCTGCACACCGCATGACGATGGCTTCGGCGACCTTGGGGGATCAGCTGCATTCCAGTTCGAAAACAGGTCTAGCTCGAATAGCATGGCTCGGTTTGAAGATTGCGTACAGTGGCTGACTGAGCGGAAAAAGAATGATCGGAACATTCGATTCAGCGAATAAGATAAGGCCCGCTTGAATGTCATCCAACTTCGCTCCGTTCGAAAGGGTCATTCATTCCTGGATCGGAGCGTGACAGTATATACTGGCAATGAAATTATGATCGGACACCGGTGACAATATCAATAACGACCGCAATTACCGTGACCGCTGAGGGATTGATATCTATCGCAACTAATGATAGCGAAACCATCTGGCTTCAGTGTTCCGTCAGAGGCGGAACAGCGACCTGCGGATTCCGTGCTAGAATCGATTCGGAGAAGTGATTCAGACCGGGCCGAAGTCTTCTTCTCTCAATTAATCTGGTTGAATCGGTCACGATAATTAATCCCCGGGAACGACATGGAGGGATGAGTTGCGGAGCGATTGCCAAGGCAGTCTTTGTAGCTCTGCGTGTTCACCCTTCAGATCCGGACCGCAATTAGTTGCTGTCTCGTGACAGCCCTGTGACAAGATATCGGAGAGCTCTTTTCCCCTCAGTGGATCAGTAAGCGGCGAAGTTCACCGTCGCAGACAATATATCGGTACGCGATCCGTGTGGGTGAGTGAGCGAGCGCTAAACGAATACCCAACACGCAGGAATAAATTCTCAGTCCGAGGAAAAGAGCATTCATTCATCGCCTTTGGTCATGGAGCGCGCGGAATCGTACACGAAGCGGAAAACCAGCTTACGCAAGAAGTAGACCACCGGCATCACGTACGCATTTGAGTCCGGCGGCAATTCCGTCGATGGTCTGACAATTGGATCACGTGTTATTAACACAAAGCGAGATATTTTTCCCCAGGCGGAGGGAGTTGTCCAACGGCGGACACGAGTTCATTCTTTCGGGATGTTCGCCCCCCTTAGACTCGTCCTCGGGAAGTTTTGCACACAGATCGTGCCGTGAATGAGCACCCTCACAATTGAGACGGATTTTCCGAAAAGCGAGAACCTTCGCGATGATAACGAAATGCCGCACTAAGACACGATATTGGGCAAGTAAACGGTTGCGTTCGCGTATTCGCCTGGACAATACTATGTTTCGACAACGCAACGATTCATCCCGGTGAGCTCAGCCCCATGAAGAATGACCTCTAATGTCCGGCAGGAATTAGAACGCCGCGTCGCAGACTATTCTGATCTATCGTCGCTTGCTCGCCAGCTCGCTCGTCCATTCGCTCGCTCGCTCATCCATCCATCGTTCTCAGCCAATAAACAATGCGAGCGGATCAACGTACGTGGTGATTCCCCCGGGGTCCGATCTTCGGCGTAGAAGACGACGCGTCGTCGTCGCGAGGTTCTCAGGATGTAAGCCGACACTTCCTCTTAGCATTCGACAGACGGACTTCTATCTTACTTTTGTCTTGTTTTTTTTTTGCGAAATCTACCCCGTCGGCGGAAGGGCCCGTCTTGGCTGCGATACGAGGAACCGATGAGATCAGGCGGAGAGAAATTCTGGGGTTGCACAGCGTCAGCGTCAGAACTTCCTTCGATCCGCCATCCGACATCCCTAATCCGGCCGAGTCCGTCGCGACGGCGGACCGCGCGAGCAGAACTTCTGTCCGCTGGTAAGAGACCCGTTGATTTCCCCACGATTGGTTTCGCGACGCAAGCCCGCCGTCGCTGAAACTAACCGAGGGAGCAAATACCAAGCACCGGATTCACATGTACCAAATGACGCACGGTATCCGATGGCAAACACACAAACACCGTTTCGCAGCCGCCATGATCAAACTCGCGACGCGTTTTCGACGTTTTGTCAAGTCGGGATCGATGCTTGAATAAGATTTTATCTTCTCGCGAAAGGAAATGCAACGATTGAGACCTCAGACACGGACTGACTGAGATTAGATTATACAAACGAGATGCGCATCCGCGCTGCGGGGGACGCTAAGGACGTTATTTTTGGCGCTAGGATATCCGACGTTCGAGCAAAGCAAACGACAATCAAACAAAGTCCGCTCGAGAGAAAGGTCGATGCCGACTTGAAAGACGAGTTGGGTTGCTCAACAACTCCGGTTTTTGACGAGATCCAGCTGCACGTACATCTATCGGACGAGGGGGAGGCATTGCATAGCAATTCTAAAGCCATAAACACTTCAGTCTGAAGGGATCCGCTCGAATAGCTCCGGTCCCAGGTCGGGAGGTCATGAGAAACCGAAGCGACTAGTAGTTGTGGTTAAAGCGTTGAATAAACACATTCGATGGTGGTGGCGGTGTGGCGGTCGCGGTGTTAATAGCTAAGAGGGCAATCGACGCCTTGACATGATCGAAAAATTTCTAATAGCTCGTTAAAGACGCTCGCCCCGATGACAGGAAGCCCTCCCGGGGAACGATTGGAAGGCGAACAAAGAAGCGATCACTTTAGACGTATGGCTCCGGAATGAGTGAAGTTTCGGGCCTTCAACCGTCATTCGTATTCCAGGAAGAAGCGCCGTTCAGCGAGACTTCAAATCGGAGCCTTTCGGTGGCTGATGGGATCCGATAAGGAAATTTCCGAAAACGGCTACTGTATCGGCGCTCGGTTCGTTCGTTGTGAGCTTGCAGGAGCCTGAACGTGATACTGCGCCGAGTCTTATCCCAATTCCTCCGGGAGCCGCCCTCTGGGCCGAAATGCGGACGCCCTCGAGACGGTGGGTTTTATTTCGAAGGCCGCGTTAGAGCTCTGCGTCCGATCCTCGAAGGAGTCTAGAAGTTCGTCAGTTGATGTGTCCGAGCGATGTACAGACGGCAAGCTACCATCATGGATTGATTACAGCACAGGAATCGGCGGATTTCATTCTGAGATAATTCGCCACGTGACGTTCGACGCTAAGGGTGACGAAGTCATCCGTCTCCTTCCGTTTTCCCGATAGATAGATCAATAGATCGATCTCAAGCTATTTCGAAATGAGAAGTAATCAAACGAGTTTCGCTCACCAGTCTTTGGCACGTAGGCGTACTCATCGTTGTTGTCCTCTTCCGAAAGTTTGTCCGCCACAACGTCGGTCAAAAAGTCGATGTTCTTCTTCGCTTTGGATCTGGTCGTGAGGGATTCGCCTCTGGTGGCGCAAGTTTCTTCTTCGTCGCAAACACTGAGTCCGGAATCCAATGAAAGGAGGTCCTGACCTAGTAGTTCGGCAATATCGTGCTGTTCTTTCATTGGGTGCGCTAGGATGTGGCGGGCATCTTCTTCGGCGGAACCGATTTGCCCGAAGTGCTCCATGATGTCTCGTTCCTTCTCCGAGCTCGTGAACTCTGTGCGTCGGTGCAGGTGAGGGGTGGCAGTCTGTAGAAGTTTTCAGGGAACCATCGCGGGCAGGAGCTCCTCACTGGAACAGGATTTCTCTCTTAGAAGCAGCAGAAAGTTACCGGAGATTCGTTCAATAGGAGCAGAACGATAGTTTCTATGGCTGAATGTGTTCGAGGAGCCGTATCGGCTTTCGATTCGTGGCGTCATCGACCGGACGGTACGATGAATTCCCGGTCGTGGTCGAAGAGAAGTTCAATTATTGAAAGTGACAGTGCACAGAAGAAGTAGGACAAACATGGATCTGAAAATTTGTGTCAGAGATCCAACCTTCTTGGCTTCCGAGCAATACTATCAGCAGCACCGTTAGATTACAGGTTCGTACCGTAGGGAATCGGTGAAAGGATTTTTCCGTTCGGACGGTTCATTCCCCATTGATTTTTGAACGCCCACGGACCGTGATCTACACTCAATTGAAAACGTTCGACATAGGGCCGCGGAGAGCCGATACGTCTCCCCCCCAGTGAGTTTCACTATTCCGAAATAGGCGAAAGTGCCGTTGCTCTCGTCCGCGGTGAACGTGATTTTGACTTCTGCCCTCGGCTTCATGGTCGACGTCGTGAGTCGCGAGAAATCTGTTTCCTCCTCCTTTCCACTCACAGACGCAAGCGTCTATCGGACGGTCAACAAACCGTAACCCCAAACTTCTCACTTTTCTAACATCCAAGCGTCCGGCCAGAAATCGACCGACCCGTTGGTAGACCAGAAACTACCTAATCGGAAACGAGGAAATAGGGGGGACTCCCGAGCAGTGAACGAGAGCCCTCGCTCTGGAAGCGCATCTGACGAGCCCCTTTCTGAAAATTATCGGCTTTCGATTCCAGACTTTGATCTCCGAGAACCTGATCTGGGAAATTGTCACGACTCCGGGGATCCACCGAGGACCGAGAGGGCTCGTTCGCTGGCGGGATCCGATCGGTATTTCGGCTACACGAAGGTGGGGAGCCCGATATTCTGCTCAGAGTCTGATCACGCGAGAAGTCTTGTGTCGAACGTATTCGCTTACACACTGTAAGCGAACACGGGTCAATCTATGCTTGGAGAATGCTCCGGTCGGCGATCGATTTCTGGATGAGTCTACGCTTCGCGGCAGCAGACCACGTTTCGCTTATTGTTTGGGGAGCCAGTCGATCCGTTTTCATGTTACTTCCTCTAAAGAACACTGCGATCAGAAATACTGCCGTGGGGCTGGTCCTTTTTCGGAACAATCAGCTCCGAGATGCTCGAATAGAGAAAAATAACTCCGAGTTATCCTGGGGTTACGGATCCTGAGGCTTTCAAATCGAACGGTCGATTCCCCTCCTAGAGGACGGCTTCCCTGATCTCACCATGCATCGCTGATCGCGCGTAAACGATTCGAATCGCCAAACAATGATTTTCCAGAATAATTCTTAATCGACCACATACCGCTACACAGCTGCTCTACGTCGGTTACATAACGTCCCGAATCGGGGAAGCCAAACAGCGAGTCCGTGGTAGTGATCTAGATCGCGCTAGGTCCGCTCATTGGCCACTCGTCTTGGCTGACGGGCTAGGTGTACAACAGACTCGCGCATGCGGACATCTCTCTAAACCAGCGGGCTCTTCGAACTTGAACGGAGTGGAAAACAGAGCGCTCATCCAAGAGGATGGTCATTCTGTGTCACTCAAACGACGACGGACGGCGGCGACCTTCGAGAATCTCGCATTCGGTCGGTTCAGTCGACCAGATCAGAGCAGATGCTACTCGCGCGGCTTCTGCCCACGGCGCTTATCCAGAGATCGAACTAGGAGAGCCTCCGATTGAGCTCGCGATCCTGGCGGAACGAATGACGCGTGGCGTCCTAGTTCCACCCCTCTCCGGAGCTATCTCCGTCGGAGGAAGAAAACCGTGTGAGGGACCCGAGTCCTCGATGAAATTCGAAGAGTTCAGCGCTTGGACCGCGAGCTTCGCAATGACACTTGGAGACGTTGGGATTGAGAAACGGAGGGAAGCGTCAGGGAGATGTTCCATATGCTCGGAGTCTCTTGCATATTGCCATATGGGAATAGGTCTTCCGTTCTTGTCTCGGTCTGCGGAACCATCCCCAATCCCCATCCCTAATAATATACATATAAGGAGCGCTAGAGTGGGAAGCCCCAAACTAGAAATCAAGGAGGAAGATGAGTTGTCGAGCCGGTCACGGAAGCCTCAATCTTTGGCCTAGCGTCTCCACGATCGATGTCGATAGCACGGGAGGAACGAGCAGTGGCGTAGCCAGGATTTTTTTTTGGGGGGGGGCGGAATTTTCCTCGAACTTGTGGGTAGGCTCACAGAATCATCGGATCTCCGTCTCATATCGATGGAAAAGTCATGATTCGCCAGCAGCAATCGATTCTATTACAAAAAAAAATCGAAACAGCGTTTAATTGGAAAACGTTAAATTTAAAACGCCAAGAGGTCTACCTCCGTCACCGCGAAGAGGTAAAGTAGAACAAATGGAAGGCACAAAACAATCTACTGACAACGAAAGGTGACTACACTGGCTGGTAGGCCTTCTCGACTCACAACATTAAGTTCATTCGGCGCTTTTGCTTGCTGGCGAATCTGTCGATTATGGATTCTATGTCCCACTCATCGTCTCGATGGATGTTCGACACTCTTAGGAAGAAATTACGGGCGGGGGGGGGGCGAACGCGCGATCGCCCCCTCCCCCCTGGCTACGCCACTGGGAACGAGAGGGATGCGTGCTCGTGTTTAAAGCGTCTAGCCTACCAGCCTTGACGGAATTCTGTTCGCTACAACGGTGCAGCTACCGTGGGTATGCAAATCCTGACTCATTCTTGAATAGAAACCGATAAGCTCAGCCCAGATAGAAGAGGACAACGCCGATCACGCCCGCTCCATAACTCGGATCCACGCAAGCCGTCAAGTAATTGGATTGTCAGCCGGAGATCCGAGCGGACGAATTGACACGTCGGTTGTTCGCGTTTTCTGCCGCGCCGCTCATGTGTTTTGGCTCCTTTGAAGTTTTTGCACTAAAAAGCCTTGGATATGTTCTGTACCGCATGTCTTTTCGGACGGTCATCCCCCACCTCGTTGAGCCATGTCGCTTTTATCAGCTGTCACGGTCAGCTTGAAGTAACGACTTACGAAAGGACATTGGATCAAGGAATCAGACGCTTTTTCCCAAAAATGCTGCAAACCGCGGAGGAATCTGGACTCGGTCGGCACTCGCTGGGATCGGAAATATGTCGTCGGGAGTCGGGAGGGAGGAGAGGCCCGAAACACGCTATTACGGGCAGATTCCCAACAATGATCATCCGACCAGAGTCGTCTCAAACCAATTCCTTGGGTGAATCCGTCAAGAGCCACGTGATATTCTCCCACAACTAGCGTGCGAAATTCCGCGCAACCCGTACGACACACTAGGCTCAAGTCTGCGATATCTAGAAGGGTCGAGCGCGATTCTTCACTCAAGGCCGTCGCCTTCGTTGTCATTTCGCGTAATCGGAAAGATAGGTGTCATCAAGGCCTTCAGGTCGAGCGGGCAGGCCTTGAGAAAGACGCAGTCGGTAACCTTCGCGTAGCTACGCAGAAACCGCCTTGGATCAAGCAAGTTCTAGTCGGGCGGTCTACGCGTCAATACCGTAGATTATACGGGGACCGCCGACTTTCTTGACACCACGTGAGGTCGTCAGTGAATTCCGCACACCCTCTCGCGATTCGAATCGCGAAAAAAGCGCTTTAGCCATAGAGAAATCATACGCTCGGATACGCGATGATGATTCACTTCGGAACCTACTTTTCATGATGTTTCGATTGTCGCTCCCGAGCCATTATTCTCGGGATGCGAGCAGAGTGACGTAAACAAGCTCACGGCTGACTAGCAGTAGATTGACGTGCTGTAGTTTGGTCGATTTTATTCTTCGGGTCCGAACACAGGCAATCACCCAAACACGAGAATTCCCCGTTCACGAGCACCTCGATCGCTATGCCTTCCTTGCGGCTGCACGCTGCCGTTGGACTTCCATCTATGTCTGAAACAGTCTAGCACAGGGGGAGGGTCTCCGCCGGCCACCAAACCCAAACGTTTCAACCCAACGCCTGAATGACGGTCTGTCCGACTGACTGACTGACTGAGTGAATGGTAGGCAGCGACCGACCTAAAGGCTGCGGGCAGGAGGAGGGAGGACAGCGGGCTAGCTCACTTCAGAGCAGACTGCCAGAGCAAGTAGATGATTGGCAGCGGGGCGACCGGTAAATCAGACCTGTCATAAGGCGCGCGGAGTCTTTTCTGTTTCCTAGCGTTCGTGGCTCAAGAGAGCGAGAGACGCGGCAACGGTCTTCCGCGATGGTAACGGTGATTTCGGAGTCTCGGGATGGTTCTTTTACATATTAGACAGTGGTTTTATTATGCTACGGAACCGGCAACCCAGAAAGACAACAAGACGTTGTTCGTGAAGAGCGAGTGAGCCGACCACCCGAGCATCAGAAATCCGTGGCGATATCCACTTATCCAGAAAGTGAAGAAGGTAGGCCAGGCGAGTGTCGATATAGCGAAGGCCGTCGGTTGAGTCATCCTGAACGCGGATGGTCGGCGAATGCCTTCTGCAGCCGTTGTTGAAACGACGGGAGCATTGAGCAAACCACTCGAGCCACGGAGAGCCGGAGCTCATGTTCCGACCATGAGACACATGTCCTCCATCTCCGAACTCGCAAAAACCCCGTTGTCTCCATCATCTGAGGATGCTGTCACTGATTCCGTTTCTCCGATGGATTCCGTGTCGGGGAGCGAATCAATGAGTTCCGAGGAAAATTCGGTGGTTCACAGACGGGAGAAAAGGGTCGTTGAGCTTTCTATCCGTCATGTTCATCGGCGAATTCAAGAGACAAATATCTCCCGGTCTCTTCGAGAGACGCATCGCTTGCGGGCAACCGCCTCAGAGACAACCCAATAGGCAACTCAGCCATGCTCGGATTATGGAACTCGACACGGCAGCCAGTAGGGATATTTGTCACCGATTGCTTGAGCTGACCTCGACATTAGAGATATTCGATCTGTCTCTTTGGACAGTCGGAGTTTCCAGCTTTACCGGAGCACGATTCGAGAGTCTCCTCTTCATCGAAATTCACTGAACATGCAGCTCACCTGGAGCCACCTGGAACCGACACGACGACGTGCAGGCAACCCGAGCACAACAACTATCACAACCAACTTCGACCACAACACTTGTGGTGGTGACTGAAGGGCCACGACTCCGGCAGGCACGACAAAGAGCGGTGGTAACCACCGATCTGAGCGACGAAGCGACCGCTCACAAGCACCAGCTCCGACGGTGGTGGCGACGGCACCGACCGACGGAAAAGCGCGCTGCCGCTCACGAAGGAGAGCCGCGAGAAGGATTCTACAACATCAGACCCGAGCAAGGAACATAAGAGAGAAGGAGCCAACCAAGCATCCCTTCGACCCGACGACGACAGAGTGTTGACGATGACATCAACGACATTCGCGGCACAAAAAAAGACTGTCAGCTGAAGACGAAATCATCATCTGGAAATACTAATATCGACCTTAGGATCGACAGACAAGCGTTGCGATAGAAGCGGCCCTTGAAATCCCGTGAGAATCCTCGAGGGGCGGCTCCAACCTAGGACAACCAAATATGTCGATTCTGAGGTGCGAATGACGCCTCTCGAAAGAGATAGAATTTGGATGTTCATTCAGGGCGTCGAGTGTTTTCATGGATCGTTTACGACGAGGAACGAAACATGCACCGGAGTCCCACAACCGAGAATCGACTCGGAGCAGAGAATTATCCTCCCGCGTAAGTCGTGGAACAACTTCTCATCGTTTGGACAATTACTCCTTCTGATAATTGAATTTAAATAGTCGATTGGACTGCTTCTCAAAAACATTCGTCTGGCTCGAGCTGCTCGGTAAGCGGGCCATCGCATCGGTTCGCTATGCGAGACAATGGTGTCGACTCCTGATCGCTCGTATCCCGTAAGGGTCGCTCCTCATGCTTGCCGTTCTTCACGCGAAAGTCCTGTTGTACGAAGCGGGTGGAGAACATTCTCGGAGCCTCGTTTTCTCAATGGATTTACCTTCAATATCGTTCGTCGATGCGTAGAGTCTCTAGGTCTCGTCTGCCCCCCTCTCCGACAAGCCCCGGTTCCAGGAAATTCCCCGTGGGTCCAGAATGTGGCTGATCTCAATCTGTGCAGATCCTCCTGCGACATGCGGATGTCTCCCGCGAATGCGAGCATATCGGTCTCGGTGGTCTCGTCCCACTCCAATCTTCGCAACAATCACACATGAATCAGGGAGCAAGGCAACTCGACGTTTCGAGAAATTACGATAATGTTTCCCAAGCTTAAAAGCATCCAAGCGCGGAAGCTGTCAAGACGCGAATTCAAGTATTGATGTTGTAATGTTCTACGAATACGAGTTCTCGTGAATGAAGTGTGAAAGTATATGAGAAGACGTTCAAAAACAGCAAGTCCTTCGATTTCCTCGGGGCGCACCGTCGCGTAATCGGTCGATCTTTCGAGTCTGTTCCGCTCAGACGGGCATGAATTACCTGGACCCCTATTAGGCGAGGTATAGGAGATAGGAGTACAGCCCCTGTCGAAAAACAGGCTCTTTTATTTGTACGAGTATGAGGAGCTTCAGCGCCATATATCTGCAAACAAGCACTCGACGTAGAGACTGCCATGTGGCTATCTGCCTCACGGAGTCAAATGAACGAATGGTGCTAACGACGTTCCGGAATTCGGTTTGACTGGTTAAGTGCCATTCAATGCGAACGAATTGTGTTCCATCAATGTCGGAGCTTTCCGAAATTTCTCAGATCCAAACGATTCATCGCGTCGTTATCGAGCAAACACTTCGGAAACAGTCCAATCGAAGCGGAACTGTATTCTTGGCCGGCAAACTTCCGCTCCCACCGTACACAAATGAAATTCCCATGAATGCGCACGCGCAACAGAGCTCTTCAAAGAGCTGGGAATGAGCGCACTCGATACTACGACTCGAGGACGGGTAGGTGTTCGGTCGGAGCGGACAGTGAACGTGACAGGTCCGGAGCCTTCAGCGAAGGTTTCGAATGAATTTCGAATCGTACAAAGGTGCGAGAAACGTACGAACATTCATCCCAGAGGCGGAATGAAACTCTTATTGGCCCCGAAGCTCACGTCTGAGTCCTAGACAACGGGAGCTATAGGGGGGAATATTCCCTATGTCACTGTGGAGATTCTCTCCCTTCAGGAAATGGAATGATGAGTGCTAGACGAGCCTCCGGAGAGCCCGAAGACACAGCTAACATTCAATGCCCGTCGCGGCGTGTCCAAGCGGCCTTAAAATTCATTGAGCAATGCTCCCGAATTCTTCGTACGATTTGCTTGTGAATCGCATCAAGAGGCCCACCTGGGTCTTGAAACGTCTTCGAGGTCATCAAGATGAATAATGATGAATTTCAAAGTTACGAATTATCGAATATTCAAGCCTGGTTCGCTTCGCAAGCGCGCATATTTAAACGTTCGGGAGCGACCTTTGGTCGGTCTTCAGATCACGGCGGACGGTGGTTCCAATACGGACGGATGCGCGATGATTCTTTCAAAAACGAGCAATCAGCTATCCACACCTAGCCTGGGAGTTCGATGAGGGACTCCGCACAGAAGCCGGCCCCTTCCTCGCAGCTCGAACGCGATGGAAACCCGGGTTCACACATTCTGGTCCCCCATATCGAATGCGCGTGGAACAATAGGCAAGACTATTCGGATAGTACCAGAAGCGTAGCAAGATTCTAGAGCTGTGGGAGTCGGAGCTCGAAAGATAATCCCATGATGTTCTCTTTCCGAGTTCCGGTGTTCTGGAAGGCGTAGCCACTCGTGAACAAATAACGACTTCTCTGGCCTGGAATTTACAGCGTTGGAAAAGCTGAACGCCAGTTCCAATGTCTTCCCCAAACGCACCTCGTTCTCAGAGAATCCAAGAGAGAAGATGTCACCTATTTTCGAAAGAGATTCAAGGTCGAGATGTTCTTTCTCTGAAGATTGAGGGCGCACCGGGAGCACATGAGCGGTAAGTTGAATCGTTGAACACGGATCTTGCTGAAAATGAAGTCATCGTCGATAGATACTATATTTGTATCGCGAATAGAGTGCCAGATTGCAGGAATCGTTCGAGCCGTGAGAACGAACTCCGATGGCATATACTGATAGATCCACGGAGCCAATATAAAACACCACTAAAGCATTGACGCTCGGGACGTATCCTCGAAGATTGAAGCCAACTCGTTTCTGACGCCAGAAGTGTAGGAGATGTGAAGCTCATGAAGATTGGGAGCGAACCACCTTTCGCAGAGATGAGCTAGTGCTACTTTGTATCGATTGAGGTCTCATTCCTCGTATCATTCGCCCGACACCGTCGAGAAGGGGGCTCGGTGGGACCCCACGTTTTTGTGCAACTCACGATTGAATGATTGAGGATCCTCGTACAAACACCCTTAGGATCAGAAGCTGCGTAATTGCCAAACACTGAATTTGTTGTCTCGCCACCCACCAGACCGAGGTCTCACCGGAATCACGTCTAGTGTTTTTTTGTTTGTCTGAGCGTCGCGCGATGAGAAACGAAACGGTCGGGAGTCACTCAAGACTTGACGTCAGTCCGCTTGCTTATCCTCCTTCAGAAAACACTTTTTTTCCCCTGAGGAGGAAAACTCAGACAAATGCTGGCGAATCACCGAGCTGAGCACTCACCGGAGAAATCTTCTGCTGGTGACTCTGAAGAGTGTAATCCGCATTTATTGCGAAATGACAGCTTTCGGCTGCTGCTCCTTACGACCGATCAGGCCGCGCCGTGAGCGGAAAGAGATTGAGATGATCGTGAATAAAAGTTCGGAGATGGATCGAAGTGGATGTGCGATCGAATTCGCTGCCGTTGACAGAGTTTTTATTCCATTCCCCAGCGAGGGTAACATAGATCATTACGCACGGGGAACAATCGTTGCGTTCCGTTCACGCGGTCAGGGGCTGTCCCATCTTAGGCGACCGGTTCTCAAGGCAACGAAGGAAGTGCACAGAAGGGTGTTGAATGCGGCGGAGGGCTTTCGCATATCACTCTGACCAACTCCTTCGCGCGAATCCATCGGGTGACTGTGTTGTCTTAATCTTGGCCGTCGGCGATCGGATCGCTTTGATGCATTGTATAACACTCGATCTCCGATTCCTTTCGAATCCCTGCCGCCAAGAACTCCAATCGGAGTCTAAGTGGGGGACATGTTGGCGCCATAAGCAGGTCATTACCACTAAGACATGTCGTGCCGGAGATCGGTTTGGTTTTTGATATACGGTCTCTCTACAAATTCATTTCCTTAGAGGAATGCTTGGGTGAGTGGAATACTAATAACTGGTCTTCGATTCATTTGTCTCCACCGAAATTGAGGGGGAAATGGTGCCGAAAGTAGTGAGAGCCGGAAGATCAGATCTGCTTCAATGAATTCGCAGCTCCTCGAGGGACGGCGTCACAGAGCCTTGCCCCTTCCGATCCTCCAATGAGGATCCTCCTCGACAGAGGACGAAGCAATTTTCCTCTGAAGAGCACTTCCCCGGCCCACTTCAATGATCCCCCCACGGTAAGAGCGTTCTCAGAACCGAGATTTCAGTGGTTTCTAGCACAAGCGCTCCCGACGAGGAAGAAGGTCGACCAGGGAACGTATACACTTTCGACCACATAAAGACTTTTCTTCCGGAAGATGGAGGAAGATTCCAGTGAATCGCATGGGGAATACATTTATTTTCCACGTGGCATGATCCATTGCAATATTACATACAACACCTCTAAGAACTTCGCAGTTTGATGTATATATATTTTACAGAGAAACACAATTTTTTTTTCTGAATGTCGCTACAACATCTATTTTCGGTTTAAGAGTTGCGTTGCATACGCCGGTGAAGACTCGGTCTCATTTACTGACCTTGGAGTTCTCCCAAGTTTTTTTGCTCCACTGCACGATACCCATTGATTCAAACGAATGGGGCACATATCTGCAGTATTTACAATATTCATTGCCTATTTACATTGTTGGTTATGTCGTCGGGGTCTAGGAACTCGTCCCTCGTCGACGATGGGAGGAGTTTGCAGGAAGAGATCAGCACAGGAGGTGATGCGGAGACTTTCTTCATCTGGATGAGGTCGCTTCTTCCACGGGGGGGAATTCGAGCGTAGCCACTTGGTGGAAAACTTCGTGAGAATACTTGACGAATATTGTTTTGGTAGAGTTTTTTCCTCCTGAGATACTTGTTTCAGGCGGTGCACCAATTTGTTGAGCTCGTTGCGGAGAGGCAAGAGCTCAGACGTTTTGTATCCGGTATAGTACGTAAGTGTATCTTTCCATTCCATGCCCAGAATGTCCATGGCGAGGAGCAGGGACGCCGCAGCGACTTTGCTGTCCCTGTGTCCGATCATCGTGTATTCCATTAGTGAGCATTCCAATATGAAGCGAGCGAGAGTCATTTCTCGCAGGGACATTTCCATACAGCGACAATATCGCCTGAGGAACGAATAGCTGAGCGGCATTGAGAGATCAAAATCGAGCACTTGGAGAACATGGCGTTCCATTTCTATGAACATGTCGCGCGTGTAGGCATCGTCGCAGATATAGGTGAATTCGTCCAGGCTAGGTGGAACTCGCTCGTCGATTTTGCTGGCAATCAACAGAGAGGTGGCTCCAAGCAGTTGAATTTGCGACCTTCGGAGGTCCTCCTTGCTAAGGAAACGGTCCACCATCTTGACGGCGAGATAGAGGGTCTCGTGATTGAGCTCGAAACTTTCTTGGATCTCTACCATCCAGTCGACAAGAAGGGCTCTGTAGGTGCTCGGCACCTCGGGCTGCTTGTGGATGTAGGGTTGGCAGATGAATTTCTTCTCCCGTTGCCGCAGGTACACGAACGAGTCGTGTGCGTAGTGCGCCTCACAGATAGGGTCGTTGAGAACTCGACGGTCGACGTCGGGCACACCTGCGGGCAGATCAGCCTTCTCAACGTAGAAGTCCAGTGCGCAAGCATCGGTGTGGCTAACCATGACGTTGGTACGCTGTGGAGGGGGACGATCGTTAGAGATAAGAACGCAGAACTCATGTTGCGACGAATCGAAACGTTTCCCCGGATCGGATTTCCCTCCGATCATCGATTTGCCTTCGCTTGGCGCTCGGAAATTACCTTGACTCGGGGTTGTACAAGAGCTCTTTTAGCGGGTGAAGCTTTCTTCGTCGGCTGCTCCGCGGATTTCTGTGGGGCATCGTTCTTCGAGATTTCTTTGAGGATATCTTTTTTGACTAGATCGGCCGCCTGGTTCTCTCTGAGAACTTTCTTTGTGTTCGACGGCATCGCGATGTTCTCCGACTGCACTTTGAGTCCAACTGCGCTCCGCTTCGATGCGGGCCCGGAGTCATCGTTTCTTGGGCGTTTGGCGGCCCGATTCTCGCTTGGAGCCACATTTTCTGAATGAACCTTCAATCCTTGGGTTACGCGTCGGAGGACCATCTTCTGCAAAGAGGGAATCGAGGTTACTGAACAGTTCGGAAGTCCGAGAAGCTAACAGTGACGATCGGGGCAAGCGAGCGCGAAAGGTTCTGAGAGGACACACTTCGAAGAGAAAATTCTATTCGACTCGACTGAACAGTTGAATCGGCATCGTGTTTCGATGTCCACAGTTCCGAAATACGCCTAAGACCGTTCGCTCGGATCACTCTTTCCGATTCAAGATTTAAGGAGGCTGAGCGCTTGCAGCTCGCTGCGGCGCCCACACCCATGCGGTCTGCTAGAGCGCCATAAAGGCTGTCTAGAAACTCCACCGCGAAACTCACGGGATCACGAATTATTGCCGTTGGGGTCTCTCGGGAACATCGCAGCCTAGGGCAATGGCGGTGTGTTTCTCGAATTTACGCCGATAACAGAAATACCGAGACCATCGGTAGTTGTGGTTTGAGAAAACCAACCGACTTTCCAACGGTTGGTTGAGCTCTCGCTTATCGCCGTCGCACAGAGACCTTGTGAAACGATGATAACCGATCAACCAGATTCCAGAAACCGAAGAACAGAATGGATATGTACGTACTTTGTGCATGCTTGTCACAGAGAACACATTCGACGCGAATAATTCAACACAGCAAGAGAAAGAATTGAACTCAAACGAGACTCCGACCGCCGTTAGGAGCAGCTAGAACTCCGAGGCAGTTCGGGGGTTGGCTCGTTGCTTTTGGCTTCGCCGTTGAGGGGTTGGCTGACTGACTGGCTGCCTGCCTGTCGGTCCCAGTGGTGCCGCCGCCTGGCTAGAAAATTGAGGGAGAGGAACGATCGTTGCTGCGACTGAGGCTATGCGATTCGAACCTCAACGGAAAAATGAACCGAGAAATACCTTCCGAGTAATTTCTTCAGTGAGATCGAGTTGATTTCGATCAATTCTGTCCTGATGGAACGCTTTCCAAGGGAGGATAAAATTTTCTGCCGACCGCCTAGGCCAACGAACGCCTTTTCTTTGACTAAAGGAAACCTGGCCGGAAGAACTCGAATTCCGCGATGACTACAACTGAGCTGAGATCAGAGACCGAGTCCGCAAAGCATTCAGTTTTTGAGGAGAACTCACTGACAGACGAAACTTCAATGGTGGTCAAAGTGGTTCTCCTTCGCATTCACCATGTGTCAAGCATGGCTCTTCCGAGATACTCGGACTTCTGCGCTCCCTGGCCCACGGACGCCCCTCAGAGAACAAATAATGGGCGTATTATACCTCAAATTATCAGAGATCGGGGAAAAACTTACCGCAAAGTCCGCTGTCGCGTTCAAAGTGAGATCTTTGACCGCTGCTCGACCCAAAACAACTGCTATTGGTCGAGGTTTCAAACGGTCGCTGTGACGTCACGAGTTGGAGAGGAACCGCGAAACAGTGTTCCCGCGGCGTTTTCCCAGGAGGAATTCGATTTTGGTTCCCCGCGATTCCTCCCGACTGAAATATGTCGCGCGACACCTGGTGCGGCCGAGCTCGATAAAGAATCAAGATATGATTTTGAATGAACCAGTGTTTTAGGTTCGCCGTTAGAGGGCGCTCCGAGTCAATGCTCTGCCAGAAGTCGAGAGATGGTGGTCTCGCGCGCCAACGTATCCGACTTGGTGCGCGCGAAATCAACCAATCTCAACCATGGAATGGAAGACAATGGTCAGCGCTCGAGGAGCTGCCGAGGCCTGGAATATGGTATCTTGGGATCATCGTACCAAAAGGCTTTCCATTGATTCACGGCAGAAGTCCTGAGCCCCGAGATGGAGGGAGCCGGCGCTGCCGACGAAACTCGTGGAGGACCTGGCAGATATATGTATTCATTCAGCAACAGGGGAGATCAGTGCAAATGACCATTGTCCTCCCGCGGGAATCGAATTTGTCATGGATCCAGCGGTAGCGCCCTTCTTCATCGGATCTACTTTGGCCCCTTCTCCTCGGTCCCTGCCTGGGTCGGATGTGGGCCTGATCACACAAGGTGATGTCTCCGTGGATTCGATTGGCTGGCCTTCATCAAATGGATTGCTACGTGGCATCGACATCGAACATTCGTCGGCTAACTGCCATCACTCCGAGCATGGAATCCCCCCCGAGAGACGCGAATCCGACACTTAGAAATTCACTGTGTCGCAGGGCGGTTCGGGTCGCCCCCCCTCACAGAAGGGCGATCGATGATCAAGTCCTGAGAGGGGAATCCTCGGCTTAAGGCCAAACCGAGACGATTGCCGCGTACGCGGGAGTCTCGCGCATCGTTGCTATTGATAGCCCCTTGGAGCATGAGTAGTTCTAGGCTAGAGATTTCTTCGGGAACGCTTCTTTGACGGACTGAACACGATACAGTGGCGCCGGATTGGGTTCCCTTGATGTCGTCCATGTTGCAATTCTCCTGATCGTGGACTCCTTGTGTGGATCTGAGCTTTGTGATGAAGCATGGGTTTTTTAATTCTCCATTCATTAAGTCTCGTCGAGTCATACTGTCTCTGCTGTTCCCGGTTCTAAGGCCCCAGCAGAGCGACGGAGATGGGACCCACGAAAGCACTCTTTACGCTCCAGAGGAAATATTGAGCTTTTCATTATAGCCGTGAGACTTGTGCAGTGGCTAGTTTCTCTATCCCGCCGGAATCTCAACATCTGGTCCTGATTCCGCCCATACGCCATGCAGGGAAACCCAGTTCGAGTCGAAGTCGTTCTTTAGCTTGAGTGTTAAGCACACCGATGTATGCAATCCAGGTATCGAGACGTGCAGTCGCATGTGGCATGCTGCGCGTCCAAGATCGATGTCAATCAGTGCCAGTTTATGAAAGCTGCTCAGATCCTTCTCCGAAGATGGCTCATTTTGAGAAACGTTTCGAAAACCGGCTCTGCGACCGAATGGCCGGTCAAAATGAAGAATGCTTCGATCCTATCCCTTTGCAACCGCTGCTTGGCGGGAGGAGCCCGGAAAACCGTGACTTCGTCGAGCGTATGCGGAAAAAGGTTCGTCATTGCGGGCCGGGTCCCCCGTGTTGAGAACCCCTCTTCATTTCTCACAGTGACTGCTTCCGCCTTCTGGGAGAAAGCGGAATGCTTGACAAACTTCGACACGGTGTTGGGAAACTGTCTGAATGATTTTCCAGAAAGTTCGCTCTGTAACCCTGATCAAACCGGAGGTTGTTCTTTACACTCTGGAAGAGGACGAGGGTAAAACGGTGTACTGCATGAAAGTCGGACATGACTCCCACAGACGATACCAAGCCAACCACAGCGGTCCGCACCTGTCCGACTATCTCTACAGATTCCGGAACGGAGTTATACGAGTGAGTTCTCCGGGTGAACATTCTCAGTCTTCGGACTTTGTCCAATTCTTCCGTTGCCAACGTGTTGACTCCGGAGTCATCACACAAGCTTCCGATTCCGATGTAGATTCTGAACCTTTCGTGTGAGCATCGAGTGAGAATCGGGCTCCTGCTGGCGGACCGCAGCATGCCCGTGTCGATCCTGGATCAGTCGAAATCCGTATGGGTCCGGAAGGGCAGCGTCGAAGCTTCGTTCGACCTAGAGCGAGCCGATCGGATCGTTTACAGCCGTTCAGCGGATGCCCTGTACTGGCCGCAGATGAACGAGAAGGGTGAGTGAGCTCTCGAACATCGACTCCGTCCCCGGCTGAGGGTGATCATTGGCTCCTGGCCGGGCTCAGAATGTTTCTCTCGATTTCAGGGAGCTGGGACATCATCATGTGTAGCCTCAGCTCGAGGCGTCAAACCACCGTGATCAGTCAGGTGCCAGAATGTTTCCTCCAGACTCTCCGGGATGAGTTCGTTCTCCTGTTCCGCAAACACGGCGCGCTTTTCGTTGACTACGGTTGGATGCGGGTCACTAAAAGATACAACGAGAAGAAGTCCGACCTCAATCAATCGATCGATAGCTTGGCCTCAAAGTCCTCTAATCCCCATGAAGATCGAAATCTCAGAGGATTTTATTGGACGCCAAACTCTTCGACGAGTCCACTAGTTTGCCTTGATAATTTTCAACCGACCGAGACTGAAACAGAACTCAAGGGTTTCTGCCATTGCAAAGACAGCAAATCCTCGAAGCGGAGAGCCTTCACTTCCGGCGCGCAGATGCCGCCGACCGAAACTCCCGTCAAAACCGTGGTTCTCTACGGGAACACGGTCTATAAACTGACAGCTCAGATATGCACTCCTTTGGCCACAATCCAGATCCCAGCCGGCTTCAACGATTTCAAACTCATGTACTTGGGCCGGATCATCGTTCTACACAACGACTATCAGATCGCCGGCTACATGAACTCGGGTACGCCAGTGAAAACCTGTCACGGCGAATACTTGAACGCGGGCTATGGGATCGTTTGCAACACTGAGGGCATATTCCGCATCAAGATGTCCGAGCCGCGCCAGAGACTGGAGGCCGAAGAGTGATCGTCGGACGCGTCCCTATCATTAACTATTATCCGTCCCCGTGGTCAAGGATATTGCATTTTCCCGTCCGACTTTTACAGTAAGAGCTGATGTTTTGAGAGTTATCATTTCTCGTGCTCGTTTCTTAATTCTTTCCGAGCACTTTTACGTTGTAACTCTTTTTCTATAGAATAAAAGAATTCAGAGAAGAAGTGTAATGGATGTGGAATATGAGGGTGGAGTTGCAACAGCGGATCGCCACGCGGACAATCGGAATCCAGGCCATCTTCCGATCATGTTAACCGGTAGCCCCGATCCCCGATGGACCCGAGTCCCGAGCGTATTACCTCCTTGGAGTTCGAAGACGGAAGAGAACTCCGGTGATTGTCCCCGAGCAAGTCCAGGGAGAAGAGTCAGAGGTGACCGCAATCAGATGAGTTCCAATTCCCAAATCCCTGAGTAGAGACATGAGCTCATGCTCTCCAGCGTCGGTGAAATAGCGCGCGTCCGTTCTGGCAACAACAGACGAGCTCGGCACTTAGCGCTCTGTTCGGGTCAGCCTTTAGCGCCGTCAGCTGTGTTACTCGCTGAGCAGGAAGATCTTCGAATATTTGTTCAATATGTGATCATCTGAAATAAGCCATGGCTAGTCGTAGTGTTCCTAGACAGCTGACCAGGTAGGCGTCGCAGGAATGAGTGAGGAATGGATTCAAGAGACTGACATTTCTGAAGGGATCACGCCCAGGTACTGCAGAGCAGGCGGACGATGATTTATCCCGTTCGATTTATCACTCGACTGATAGATCATGATATTGACACGGGGATCCTCGAGCTATCCTAGGGACCACTCCAGGGAGTAAGCCAGATTCGAGGATATCTTCTCTTAATTTTTTATTGTCGAATCCGGTACTTGACGCTCTCCTGCCGCAGATTAGAACAACTTCATTATGAGACCTGTTTATGCTTGTACCGCGATTTATAGCATCCCAGCCGTCTCAGAGCCGCCAGAGGAGGGGGTCCTCGGTTCTGTATCGACTGGGGAGTCACGGATCTTCGGGACCTCCATCTAAGGCTGGACTGAGCTCATTCGGGGACTGATAGACTCACTCAGGAAAGCATCAAAAGCATATGATTCCCCTAAACGGTTCGAGCGCCGGCTCCAGGGTGATTCTCCGAATACATTCAGCTCATTGACTCTTCTTCTTGGTGGAGAATTGGAGCTTGAGCTTCTGACTTCCTCGATGATCGAGCTCCGGAAACTGCGTGCGCGTTCTCTCCTCGTTCTCGACACGTTTCTTGTCCGTTTCCTTCGAATATCCCCCGTCAGCTGTGCTGTCGTCCGAGACGATTCTAAATCGCTTCATGCAATTCGCAGGATGCCGGAGGTCGACTACCTCCTCTTGGTGGCGAACGACCGCTTCCTAAGCGCGGTTTTCGCGTCCCTGATCGTGGTGACAGTCGCCATGGTGGTCCTTCTCGGCAAACTGACCGGATTCATCGTGTTGAGCACCTTCATAGCCAGCGGCATCTACGTCCTCGACGCTCGCAAGAGACAGTACCAATTTGCTTCGCTGTGGCCTCGGATCCTCCCTCGGCAGAAGACGGCTCGCTTCGAATGCAGACGGTGCAAAGCTCCTGACTGCGAGATACATACGAAGCTGTACAGCATCTGTCCTTGGCGAGAATTGATGATCTCTCAAGAAGTTGATTCGGCGATTGAGGATATTCTCAACAAAGTTCTCCAAGAATACGTTTATCCCTGGTACGCGATGCTCAGCAACGATGAGGTGTTCATCCAAGAGTTGCGGGTGATCCTGCGTCACGTGATCGCTGCGCTCATCAAACGCGTCGAACGCGTCAACCTCGCCCAGCTGATAACGGGCAAAGTCATCCACATCATAGCACAACATCTCGACATATACGTACGCGCTCGTAGACTCTATCCGGACGAAAAAGATATCGAGAAGCTCATATTGAGCTGTTACGGCAGAAGTATGCATGTCGTACTGAAGAATCGCCAGACCGAACAGCAATACCTTCGGAAGGTCACCGAGAAGATGCTGATCAACCTCATACCGGGGAAATACTGTCATTCACCGAGTGCGTTTAGCTTAATCCGCGAGATCCTGTGCGGCTCCGTGTTCTTGAATGGCATGGATGCGATTGCAGATCCAGATATCATCAATTTGCTGCTGCTGATATTCTTCGACAAGACTCCTATGCAAACGTTTCCCAAATCGAAAAAGTCTGTCGAGTTGTTGAGTCATTTTGTGAATCAAAACGCACCCTTGGTGCGTCCACCCGCGGTCGCAGACCTCGATCTGCAAACGCTACTCAAGACTAAGGAGCTGTATTCGGGTTTCGCGCACTATCTTAAAGACGAAGGCTGTCAACACCTGCTCTGGTTCTACCAGGAACTGGAGACATTCAACTCAAAACTGCTCCCTCCGGACATAAACGCCACTCAGATCGAGCATCTGCATCAGCTGGCAGCCGGGATTTATCATCGCTTCATTTCGGATGAAGCCATGGATCGAGTGTCGATGGAACCGGAGAAGGCGGCGGAGCTGCTCGCAATCCTCCACCAGCCGAAAGAGAACATTCTCAAGCTCCGCACATCGACCGTGTTGTATGAAGCGTACGAAGAGGTTTATCATTTGTTAGATAAGGTGTTGGTACCTCAGTTCCTCCAGAGTGAGCGTTACTTCGCAATTGTGTGCAAAGAGCGCGAGTCCAACGTTAGCAACCACTACACGGTGGAAAATCCGAAGATTCCCCCGCAGGCAGTTCAGCCCAATGCACGTGCTACCAGGGTAGGGAACGCCACTTTCTGGGCGACGGTGACCGGAGTCGAGAACGCTGATTTCGACGACGACCTCACGCAATTCGAACAGGCGGCGTTCAGTATGCACGACGATCCCCGTCTGAAGGATCTGAGCGCCTGGCGGGTTTCGATCCCCAGAATAGGGGGCTCCGAAGATCGCGAGGGATGCTATTTCATCATAGACGTGCAACGTATAGACGTGAAAGAAGACCAGAAACCTGAAGATCTCCATTGGGTAGTTGGAAGGAAATACAACGAATTTTACTGCTTGGAGGCCAAACTTGAAGAGTTCCACGGAGAACTGCCGATCCAGCCGCTGCCGGCCAAGCGTTCGTTCGGTACTCGGAAGAGAAAAGTTCTCCAAGAGTATGTGTCCACGTTCGAGAGGTATATCCAGGAACTGCTCACAGTTCCTTCCTTGAGGGGAAGCCAACTCGTGTACAGTTTCCTCAAGGTAAACAACGAGTTCACAGGCAGCTTCCTGTCCGACGTTAGGTTAGGGAAAATCATTCGAAATGTGCCACGGAAGCTCGTGAGGGAGAAAGGCCAACACCTCGAAGAGTTTCTTCAGACTTTCCTCGCCTCTACGGAAACCCAGAAGCCAAAACCCGGCACGGCGTCGAAGGAGGGCACACCCACGAAACAGCCCGACCTTCTGAAGAGCTCAATGTTCGGAGATAACGCGAATAACTATTCCTTCTGTGCGTTGAAAATCGGGCCTCCTGAAATACCGGCCGTGCAGTGGCCAATATTCGATTATGTGATCTACTTGACGAAGAGCGTCTTCTGTACAGAGGCATGGGTGACGACCTTCTTGAAAGCGTTAGCGCCGCTGCTGCGCAACACAGTCCAGGATGCGGTCGAGAGTCTGCTGGACGACGTCCTCATGAATAAGGCTCTCGTTCCGAAGAGATTGGCTCTGATAGTCAATCTGCTCAAGGAAGCGGTTTTCGAAGACGGACCCCGCAATGTCACTGCAGAAATTCGCAAAAAGCGATCGGACGAGGTGAGTCCTTTCACCGGAGGCGTTGCGGTTGGACGCGGGATTTCAATTAGACGCGAAATCACAGCAATGACCGCATCGCGTACAGAACTGAGCTGAAAACTTTTTTGCTTTTTCAGGTACTTAAGGAAATGAAAGAATTTCTACCGTCACTACTCGTTTCTATTCTGACGAAGAAGTGCAACGACCGGGGAGCGGATATCATCCACGATATCATCCAGCATCCGCTTCTCAATAAGCAGTTGTCGTACGTCCTCTTCGACGCTGTATTATTCGAATTGTTCCCGGAGTTCGAGTGATTGAGACTATGCATATTCCCAATGTTGTTCCAACCGAGTTTGTAAAGAGGGAGACACCACGGGTCTCCGGATGTGTGAGGAACTCGTGAGAATTCCCAGAGACCTTCGAAACTGTTTCTTCCGGAGTCTCGTCGGCCCGCATGCCGTGCCGACCAGAGACTAGACAGCGGGTGTGGCATGATTTACGTTGTAAACTCTGGGGAGGTTTTCGCCTCCTTCGTTCTTTCCGTCGATAGGGGGAAACTCCTTGAAAACCAGATGAAATATGTGATCTACTTGTAGATAGAATTTCTTTCATCATTTTCCGCGTAATCGGAGGAATATGGCTGCGGGGAGTGATGGAGGAGAAGGATGAGAAGAAGGAAAGTGAGGGACGAGAGGGAGAAGCCGATCGAGAGGAGAATGATGATAATAATATATAAATACCTTGCGAAGTATTTTATTGAAAATACAAACTGTTGTCATTCTTCGATCAAGCATCCCAACTTCGTGCAACGCTCTATCAGGGCGTGACTAATCTGGTGAATTCTCCACGTCAGCGGGGAGGAAATCATTCATTAGTGTCGTCCGATGCAGTTCTCTCTACAACAGAGTTGTAGTGTTCCCCTGATTTTATCAAGTGTCTGTGGAAAGACAGGGTGATCGTACTCTTGAACGAGTCTTCCCCGAATACAATGTTCGGTCCGTCCGCCTGATATACGATAACTTTTGATTGGAGTTCACTGCTTAGAGCTTGGAGCTCGATCTGGCCACCCCAGCAGGCCTGATCCTTTTCGATCCTATCGCAGTACGAGTCGAAGTCGTCTTCGACGATGAACGCCTCGAATTCACTCCGGTGATCCCTGATGTGGTTGGAGCACAGCTTCCGGAGTTCCGTTGTCGACAAGCTCTGACCGTGTTTCTTCAGCTGGTGCGAGATTGCGCTGAAGAGACAATTCCCGTCCGGTGCGATGTCGTGGATCTTCAGACCGTCACTCTTGAGTTTCTCCACCAAGCTTTTCTGTTCGATTGCTCGGGGCAGGTTGACATTCATCCCCTCTTGCTCCTCTATCCTCTGCTGCCGCTCTAGACTCTGCAAATAGAGAAGCGAGATTTCAACTCGGATTGTGACGCTTTCGGGGGGAATGTGTTGCCGGAAAAATGTCGATACATCTCAGCATCATCTCTCAGAAACAGAAAAATGGACGTTGGATATCGCCACGATCAAAAGATCGCGTTCTGGCTGGACACGAATACTCCACTCTCCTCTGGCATATCCCGCGCAACGAATGGGGCCTTGAGCTAGAACATGAGCTTTCCCTAGCATACGGAGCTCGACTCGATCCGAACAGTGAAAAATGAGTGCATACATCCCGACGGCGGAGAACGTTCGTTCCCGAGAAGACACTTGCCGTGGGACTACGGCCCCTTGGATTCTTAAGGTAGCCGCGATTGGGGCAAGACCCATTTTTTCGTGATTTCCTCGAATCAGGGTTACCCTGAGACTTGACGGATATGGTCATTGTATCTTTCCCCTGAAGTATCAATTTTCCCCGCATATTCTCGAGCGTTCCTTAGCCCGGACGGAAATGAATATTTCAGAGGTGCATCCTGATGGACGGCCAGCTGAAGCCCAGGACATTTCCTTTCGGCTCGAGAGGAACCCCTCGCGTGGCTCCCCCCATCTGGCAGCTTCGAACAGAAAAAGCAAGGAGCACTGGGAGGGCTTTTTCGAAGTGGATGGTGATTAATCATTATTCTCGGTCACTGATCGACGCTGCGCGTGCGCTCACTAACCTCCTGCCTCTTTTTCTCTCTTCTCTTCTCAGCTTTGGAAGTTTTGTGAGCAACCGGCGAATCGCTCTCGGCAGTAAGGTCCTTTCCGTCATCACCGGCCCCCGAAGTTTGTAGAGCTGCTTCCATCAATGAGAGTTCTGCCTTACATTTTTCTTCGAACTCGGCTTCCATTTGTGTTACTTGCAACTGCATTTCTTTCTGGCGTTTCTTATCTCCCTGAGGAATGAAATCGAAGACGTTAGCCCGCGCTCGGATGGGATGAAGTCATGTCTGTCCGGTGCACTTCGTTTCGGAGTCAACGATTTCAAATCTCGAATTTACCTTAGGTACAGCTTTCTTGAATTGCATTATTTTGGCTTGGAGATCTTTCCGTTCCTTCCTTTGGCGAGCGGTGACATCCTCCAAATCTAAGTTCCCGAGGCTCCCGACGAGCGCGTGAGCCATGACTATTTTTGCGGAAAGTCCAGTTTCATTCAAACTACGAAAACTTCGGAAGCCTCGCGCTTTTCCGGCGACTCGACATTCGAATCTTCTGTCGGGCCAGTCCGACTCTTCCGTCAAAAACCTCTCTGTTCCAGAGAATTATATCGGAGGGAAGCCGACATTCCACCGGCGCGGCGATCGCGCGACAGCGGTGGATGCGCGGCAACGATCGGCGACGGAGCGGTATTGTCGAATCGACGGGTCGAACAAGTCCGTTCTGAGTGAGAGCATTAAACTTGATTGGGACGAAATCGAGCGATCCGATCGCGTCGGGTTGAGCTGATCGATTTCCTAGCGACTGTCAAGTCGACAAAACGGGCAGCGTTACCCACCGGGTCGAATTTTCACCCCCCAGAACCTTCTTCTCACCTTTGCCGTCTTTCTGCTCCGCTTTTCGCTCATTCTGTTGCTTCGGAATTCAACAATGAAATGGTCATTCGTATCTATAATACTTGGATGGCCGCATCCCACGGTGGAGCACCTTGAGTGTTTTCCGGTCCTCTGCCTACGGCGCCGGCGCTTGCGCCGTGAAAGCGATGACTCGAGTTCAGGATTCCAACCGTTGTTCAAAGTAGAAAAACCAAGCTCGCCAATCACACCCGAGGACCCGTGGAATATATTTAATGAGGTCTCGATTTCGGCTGCGGGAGTGTCACGATCACGATCTCTCCATTGACGGTAGTTTTGCTGTCATCGAGTGAGATCGTGCTTCGCATTCGACGACTCTACAAGATGCAACGAGGAACACAAATCATCTAGGAGACGCCGCTCTGCACATGTGAACTCTCGCCTCTGCACGCTAGGAGGGAGCTCGTCGGGAATCATGAAGTGACGGGAAGTCTACCCTCGCATAGGATCTGGCTGAATTTCGGCCATGCTCCATTACCCGCGAGGGTGACGGATTCTGAGAGAAGTCCTCGGAAGAGCAACGGGTCCGGAGGATGATCATTGGCGAGTTCTCCTCAATTGGATGATTCGAGTGATTTGCATCGATTTTCGAGGACCGGGCAACCGCGGGTCTCTTCGATCGAAGGCGCTTAGCCATGTTTTCTTTTGTACCTTACACAGTCAGTCGTGCGACTGGTCGTTCTGCCAGTTGACTCCATCGTGGACAATCCGCCGACGCGCCGTAGAGGACTCGGCCGGTTGAATGTCCACGTGGCGTTCTCTCCTCTCCGGATAACTCGCATTCGCCCTGGATCGATGCATCAAACGAATCGACTGGCGGGGTTCCCGCTTCCCCGAGCAGAACCGCTGACACTTGCGAAGGGCGCATATTGCTTGCTCAGGTGTGTCATGTCTCCGCTGAGGACAAATACTCGGAGGGAATGCGACCGAGACTTTAAGTCGTAGTAAAATGGTATACATATATAATTTATTCTCGCTCAAAAATTACATAGCTGAGATGCAAACAAGCGCCGTTCCTTGTGATTCATCTTTCATTCCTGTCATCGCCCTTCCACAACTGTCGTACATCAGCTCATTTTTTCTCACCAACTTTGTCTTTAATGAAGCCGGTCTTCTTCCAGGATGTCTTCTTCGACACGTACACGTTCTTCTGTTTGGAAACCCTCTGTGCGTACGGTACGCGCGGCCGGTTGGCTTCTTTCTTCACCCGGTATATTCTGACGAGCCAGTGTTCCGTGGTGTACGCTTCGTCCAAATGCTCGAGTCGGATGTCCTTGTTTCCGATTTCGGCGTTCCGCGTGCGGTCGTAGCCCGCGGGAGAGCGCCGGTCGAGCTGCATCTCCCCGAATCGGAAATAAGAAAGCTTATACATGAGACAATTGAGGAGCGTGGGCGAGCCCTCGGTGTCGACCCGGAATTCGCCCTTCGCGTTGAAGTAGTCGGACTCGCGAATATCCTGCGGGTGTTCCCCTCCGGCGATCCTGACCATCCAGAGGAATTTGTTGATATCGTCTCCCGAGTAACCGATCACGCCGCCGAAGATGACGAGCACGTAGTCGACGTCGAGTTCCTTCATGATTTCGTAGGCGGCGCTCTCGTTCGACGACATCGCCTTCCCGACTAGAGCTATATGGGAGTTGTTCCATGTATTGTTGTCCACTAGCGTTGTCCGGTTGGCCATCCCCGCTATCTGATAGCCGTAATCCCACCAGGACATGACTCGCGCATCGTCGGGTGTGTTCTGAGCGAGCCAATAGTAGGCTTCACGGAAGTCGTCGAGGATCACCCGGCTCCCGTCGCCCGAGTACGACGCGAGCACAATGCTAGGCGACGAGTACGCGTTACTGGTCACCCACGTACAATGAATGGCGAACAACATGAGGATCATGAGCAGAGCCATGATGACGAGCATGCGCTTATTGTTTCCGAGCGCTGAGGTCACTTGGGGTACGTCGACGGCGTCGGTTCCCTCCCTTTTCTTGAGAATCTTGGGCTTCCTCGAGCCGCCGCCACCCCCGCCGCCACTGCTCTTTTCCGGGGTGCTCGCGATATTCGCTTGGATGACGGTCTCTTCCTCGACGAGGTAGAGTTTGAAGCTGTGCGAAAACGCGATGGCCGCCAGAACGCAAACGCACGGCGTCAACGTGAGCATGAGACGAACCATCACTCCAGCGAAATAGACGGCTGTCACGGCGTACAGCACGATGAACACGCGCTCGTCGTTCGTGTACTTAATGCAGTACCATAGGCCGACGGGGAAAACGGCGACGAGGACGTGGAGATCGAAGAAGAATGAAAACCACGTGGTCGGTTGATGTTCCGAGACCGATGCGATTATCGGTATGTGGATCTTCGCGTAGCCGGTGTCCCAGAGCGAGTAGAAACGACCGGACCACGGGGCGACGTAACCGGCCATGGTGAGGAGCACGAGTCCCACGACTCCGACGATGACTAGAACGAATATTGACAGAATGATCAGAGCCTTCATCTCTCGGTTGCTGAAGTAGCCCTGCAGGTACTTGAGGAAGGCCACAGCGTTCAAGAGGCCGAAGACCCCGATCGATGCCATGTGCTCGGAGGACCGAATCGGTTGGAATCCAACGAAGGGGATCTGCATGGAGAACAACAAGCCCATGATAAAGAATGTCGTATACGCGACGTAGATCCGTTGCGAGAACCTGTTCATCAGGAGCAGGGTGAAGACGTGCAGGGGAATTAAGTTGATGATGAACACATATCCTCCCCATGCCGAGACCATGTAGAAGTACGAGAGAGCGGTCATCATGGCCCAGAGTATTCCTCCGTTCTTCACTGATTTGATCCATAGATAGTAGGTGAGCATCAGGGCGAAAATGGCAATGCCTTCATTGTCGTAGGAACCGGCCACCGACCGCGAGATGTATCCCGGCACGATGGCGATGAAGCACGCAGCGAACAGGCCGGCAGCTTCGTCCCAGAGTTCTTTGGTGAGGAAGTACGTTGCCAGAGCGGTCAGACCGCTGAAAATCGGAGCCAGAAACACGCAGATATCACGAATGTGGATTGGAATGTTCAGGAGAGATAGCAGGTAGTGAATGAGACCCGACGTTATCATCAAACCTGGGTACACGGTTCCTCCGACGATTCGACCGAGCGGATACCAAGCACGCTCGTCGAACCAGTTGAGGAACTTGTAGAAACCGTGCTCCACCATGTAGTGCGTCGCCCGGTAGTTGAACCACGGATCGAATTCGTGGATTATCGATTCGAAGCGGATGACAGCGAAAAGTCGCGATGAGAACCCCACGATCCACGCCATGATCAGAATACAGAACCGCAGCAGGGATGCGACTCCCATGTATTTGGTGTTAACGTCCAACATTTTTGAGCTGTTGGTAGCTCGGCCGATAGTGTTTTTCCGTGGAGTCCACTCACTATTACCGGCTTTGCTCTCCGGCACCACAAGTGATATGTTGGCACTTGCCGAGCAGACAGCTTGTTGTTGGAAGTAGCGGCGGCGTTATGAGAGGTGTTCCATTCAAGTTATCCGCAATATACGCCTCGCGAGCGAGACGTCACTCGGAGGCTCCGGAGGGGCCGTCACCCGTCGGACGGTCAAGCGGTGTAGGGACCCTTGTCGGGTACTCCCGGGGGTTCTATTGCGATCTGCTCGACCGAAGGAACGCGCTCACGGTGAATATATCGGGAGAAAATTCCCTCCGGAGGATCTCGTCGATCGCGCGGTGAGTGAAACGGCTCCTCCCCTCCCATTCGCAGCACTACCACCACAGACGAATATTTGTCCACAACAATAATTTGAGGACTCTCGGGCGGTCTTTCTTCTCTGCTCCGAGTCTGATGTGGAAGACGGTAGAGGGAGATTGCCGCCGAGTCGGGAGAAAGAAGAAAGTCCCCGGGCGTAATCCGAGTCACCGTGGGCTGCAATGACGCTGTGGAGCTCTAGCGTTCCAAGGGGCATCTCGTGAGCGATTGAGAACCTTCCGTCCTTCCTTTCGCATGATATTATAACCATAGCCGATCCCTGATGTACCATTAGATCAGATCATTCGATCTACGAAGATTGAGCATTCCATAATTTCGAGCAGATTTACCGATCCGGGTGGCGAGAGGGTATCGGCAGGATAACTGCGATTCTCTGGGCGCCCCCGACGAAGATCGTGCTCGTACTCCGCCGAGACTTTAAACCACGACCGACTACCGACTACGCTTGCTCATGAATTTCGGTGCATAAGAACGGATGCAGATTCGAGAGCTCTCACGCGTTCCAGAGTTTTCTCTCTCGCGCTCCGCAGTTTTCTCTCTCGCGTCATCTCGTTTGATCGATCGAAAGAAGAAATTGATCACCCGTGATTACTCAGGAAGACGCTCTTGGGAATCGCCATGCCTACTCTCTCCATTCTGCAGCCCTGCTGCCTGCCTCCTCCACGCGGTGCCATACTTCGTGTCAGCACCGATCCCCGCGTGATATCGCTGGAGACGGCAGCACACCGAGCTCGATTGCGGTCTGTCTAGGAGGACTCCTGGGCGGCCGGAAGTCCTTTCTCCTGCCCTTCGGACGGATCGATCCTGCCAGTTCTCCTGCAGTACCGCGACTTTTCGAACATGAAGCCCGAGCTGGCTGAAGCCCGCAAATGTTTAATTGCACTCGATCACTCTGGATCGTTCTGGACCGCCTACGGACCGCTATAGACGGTCCCGCCAGGGAACCGTCACTCTCGGAAAACTGAGTCGCTGGTCCTGATGATGTGCATCTATAGCGTCGAGCTGCTGAGCATGACATGGCGGTGAATTCCTCAGGACTCGTGCTGAATCCCGCGGGATCACGACTCCGCTTAACATCCTTGCAATCTGCGGTCCATTGGAATCACGATCCAAGACAGCGCGATCAAATCTGATGAGGTCTGACGAGATACAATTATCAGGAGGAGATTCGTGATCCGCAATCCAGCTTGATGGGCCGTTATCCAAACCAGACAAGGTTGTCGAATAGTCAGTGGCGTATCCTCCTAGGGAGTGGATGGGACTCCAAATTGCTCACCGGAATTTCTTTCCATCCGCCAGAACTGAACCCCCGGTGGCCCGGATCCAGCGACCACCGGCCTGGGGACCTGCTTGTCCGGGTCCTGGCCCATAGTCTATTAACTGAGCCTTTCGGCAGTCGAACTGACCGAGATCGGCTTCGAAATTTATATGAGAGGCCGCCCGATCATTCCGGAATAATCAGCAAAGATCATCAACATAACGGCTCCGCGCTTCTCCGAGTTGTCTATCAAGTCCGCGTTCGCTTTTCTTCGTGACAGTCGTAATACAGTATTTCGGCGAGGGACAGATGCATGGAAAACCGTGACCTGACGGGAGGAATACAACGATGCCTTGTACATCATCTCGGTATATCCATTCCTCGGTGGGACAGTGATGTAGACAAAGCTCTTCAGCTTGTGGGAAACCTGCTCATCTGAGTGAGAAGGTGAAACGTAAACAAGGAGAGTCTTCATCAAGCATCGCATTAGAGGAGTTTTGACCCACGGCTCGGCAATCGCTTTCACTCGGACCGTCTTGCACTCTTTCAACGGAATAAGGGAGACGTGGACGAAGACTCAACCATGTCGGACTTGCTGGAACCGCTCTCGACTTCGGAATACATCATCGACGAGATTCTCCGATACGGCCTTTTCCTAGGTGAGGCGGGTTGGAGGGCACCGATAGCTCTGACGAAGGGCCCATTCCATCCGATGAGCCGTTCTGCGTTCTATTCCTTCTCAATGATTGAATAAGCTGTCAGGCTCTCGCATGAGGCCCTCTCCGATCCTTCTTCTAGTAGTGAATGGCAATGATTTTCTCCCCTGAGAGGTACACGGTCCTTCTCCCTAGATACACTAAAGGGAAATGACGAATCGATGCCGAGTCTGACGTCTTATCGGTCCGGCAGACTGGGACACGAGTCTGACAAGCCTCATGTCTTTCCGATTCCAGGTGCCATTTTCCAGATGGTCTGCATCGCAGCTGCGATATGGCTGCCTGCGAAGGAGGGCGAAGTTGAGGAAGTCCCACAAAAGGGAGGACCCACTGCTCCGCCAAGACACAAAGGCAAACATAGCGACAAAAAGAAGAGAAGGTAGACGACAACTCATTGCAGGGAATGGGCTTCAATAATATGTGTAATTTATTCTGCTCCCGAAAAAACAATTAATTTGACGACCTCTACGGGTGGCTTTTCATTGATCTTGTGCCGCTTGCGGCTAAGTTCAAGGTAGATTTGAAAGGTTCCAAACATACTCACGGAGGGAAGATGTTAAGGTTCCACGCACCAGCATAATATTAAAGCCAGAATGTCGGCTTTATTCTGAGTCCTCTCTTAAGCCCAGATTTCTCGGAGAGCTCCCTAGTCGAAAAACACAGGGTCTCCCTGGTGTTTGTGCCCACGAAAACAACCCACGTGGAATCCGTGCTTTCCCCGATATCCCCTTTCAGTGGGATCGATCAATCAATCAATCAGTGATTTATTGATCCAGTTTGGTCGCTCGATCGGAACCATTGGGAGAAGATTCTTCAGCTCACGTATTCGAGTCGAGATCATTATGAGAGCTCCATTTATGCTTCCACCATTTTCCGTCACCGCGGCACAGCGTGACAGCACCATAGGGAGTAGCCGGCGAGGGTTCTTGCGCCGATCGACCGTCCGACCGGTGACAGCTACTCCGTAGTCTCCGAAAGGCTTATCGGTCGAAAGGCTTGGATTGCGTACAGCTCGAACCTCCCAGTCGCGCGGTTGCCTCAGTCTGGGGCGAAGTTCCCGAGTATTCCTTGGGCGAACTAAGTCAAGGACATCTTCGTAGCGCTTCCCGCGACGCCCTCAATTTTTTCCCGGTGAAGCGCCCCTCAGACTTGAGTCATTGCTCGATTCCTTCATTTCCGCGGGATCCGACTTCTGCTCCATTTTTTTTTCAATCTGTCGCCCCTCATTGATCTGCAGGAAGTATTCCTTCGCCTGAAGAGCCGCGATCCCGGCCGTTGCGGCCCGACTGCGCGCTTTGTAATTCTCTGAAAATACCCGTCGATGCCCCGAGGAGCGCTCCCAAGTCTCTCAAGACTGACTGTACGATGCGAACCCAGCAAGGGACATACCTATCACACGGAGAGATCGGACGGGAGAAGCGATCGGCAAATCTCTCGCTTGGATCTGCAAAATACGATCGTCCCGCGCGATCCACACCGAGAACAAGATAAACGGGGCAATCCCGGCAGCGTAAGAAGCCGCCCGAATCTGCCAGAGGTGTCAACAGAGATCAGCATTATCATTGACTTGACTATCCGTCGAAAGATCCCATTTCTCTGTGTTTTAAACCCCCTGTTTTTTTCTGGCATACCCGTCGTCCCGCACGGAAGCAGTTCCACGGTACGCCCTGCCTGGCGAATACTCGCTCTCAAAAAGGGACCTGAGTGTATCTTCTCGTCATTATTCGTGTCCATTCAATTATGGAACACTTCTCAGCACTTGGGTGAGAGAAATACTGATCATCAGCCCTCAGCACAGTGGTCTCCTATCTCTCTCTCTTCGGTTTGAGCGCACACATTTCGGAAGTTCCCTCTCGAAGGGATGTGTGAAGTTTGAGTATCGAGAAGTTCCGACGGACGTATCCAGCTCATGGAGGTGTGGCGCCACGAAACACTCGATGCCCTGCTGAGAAGAAATCAAACGGAGAGGAAGGTGTTCGAGGAGATTATCCTGACAAGTGAGTGTTCCAACTGATAGCTCGAGGCAACTTCTTTAGAATCGCTAGCACGCCCGACTTTTCGGAAGACTGGCCACCATACGATGCGCATATGAGTCACTTTCGAATTACGAATGGAGAGTCCTTATGGAGGGAAGTTGAAAGCTCAGTACGACCTGCTCTCGGGATCAATACGAAGCGGGTTACTTTTTCGAAGGACGCACGCGATTACTCTCCCCTAATGCTTCGGATCATTCGCAGACGCGCGTTACCAGGACCAGGTAGAATACCTCCGTCAGGAGAACACCCAGCTCACAGTCCAGAACGAGAAGTTACGGCAGGAAAATGCAGATCTCCGGTCGAACAGCGTTTCGGGGTGAGGACCGTACTCTTTCTTCTGCTTCTAACCTCTCGAATCAGCTGTTCGATGACTAATTTCGTTCACTCGGGCTCGACAGTCAAGCAAAGACCGAACCCGAACGAGTCGAGTTTTCAGCCGATTAATGGGGAGCTTAGGATCAATGGTACCCAACAAGTGCTTACGTAGTGAGTCACGAGAGCGTAAAACAGGTTGCTGAGAGAAGGGGCAAGCGTTGGACCCGGGATAGCCCCTCAATGATGGCGAACGATGGTATTCTGATCTGGATCTCGATGACAATCGTTTCAGGAGCGATTCAACCACGAATGAGCTCCAGAAGAAGCTTTTCGGACTCCAAGAAGAGATCACGAACCTCCTCAGGAAAAAAGGGGAACACGCGCAGCAGATCATCGATCTCCGGAATACCCTGGAGCTCCGAGACAAGGCGATACAGATAAAAGGTTTGCCGCCAATGTCGTCGCTTCAGTCTTCGATTCCATATGATCTACCGGTGGCGAGGATCAGCCCCTGCTCCATTTCATCTCAGCTGTCCCTCTTCCAGAGAGTTTGATTGAAGAGCAGCGCAGTAAGATCGAGAGCCTTCAAAACGAGAATAGCAGGATAAAGGAAGAAAGCAGAGAGATTAAGGAAACCTCCCAAGTTGTCCACGATGAATATGCAGCTTTACACCTCACCTATCAGAGCGTTGAGCGAGTCAATCGTCAGCTCGAGATTGAGAACCAGGACATCATTTCCAGGTAGGTGTAACCGAAATCGGGAAAACTGTTTTACTGTTTGGTGCAGCTTTCTGAGGACAAGGAGTCGCATTAGCCCATCGGGAGAGTTGCAGGACAGTCTGCGCCGCCGGTGCCCCGGTGACCAGGCAGCAAATCGGTCAGGAGCGTCTTGCCTCTGGGTTGTTTAATGCTGATGTGAAAACATCAGAGAAATTCAATCCAATGTTCAGCTCGGGCTGGATCGGGAAAATGTCAGCGGCGCGATGGATTGATTGGGCATTCTTGAAGGGAGAAAACTGCGAAATCTGCTGCATGATCACGAGGTCATCGCCTTCTGATAAGAACTTTTTCCCCCTTGCCCAGATCGGACTCCTCTCTATGCGCGCACAGGCGTCGTCGTTCCGATCGCTGACGTAGCGCTTGGTGATAACCCGAGAGAATTTCTGTTCTATCGTGTTCGCTCTGAAATAGCGAAGAGGTTTCAATGAAAATACTGATCTTCGAAAAGAAGAAAAACAAAAAGTGGAAAATAGACGACATGGGTCGGCGTCCCTCAGGTTCGCCATCTCAACCTGCATGCGATGCGAACCTTTCGGGGCATCTATTAGGAATGAGAAATCGAAAAAATTGGGCCGACGGGAATTCGTTGCCAGAGGTATCAACGAGCGTTGCAATGCGTTTCGTTCAGGTTGAAGATCCCCGGGCAGAACTGCTGGGGCGACATTTGGTCACGTACTCTTCGCCCTTGCCGGCGAACTCTTCCTCCGGTGCTTTCTTGCTCGAGGGGCGTTTCTCATTGACCTTGGTTTCATTCCGACTCCGAAATCCATGATGTTCAGGCTGAAAAAGTTGCGTGAATTTATCCGAGCTTGCTCTTTTTTTTCGCGCCTCATACGAAATTTCAGTGAAAGTTGGAGCGTGGAAGCGGTGTGGCACAAGCTTTTGAGAGAAGAGTGGCATTCCCGATTCTTCACCAAATGACTTCGCCGAGTGAGGTATTCACGACAGGCCAAGAACTCATTATTGTGGTTTCTTATCTTTGTTCAGGTACATCGCTCTCAAAGCGGAGCGGGCCACGAAGATGAATGAGGAAAACGAGCAGTTTATGCGTTTGAGACGAGAGCAAACGCAGAAGGCCCTCCAGGAAGCCGCAAGAGAAGAAGTTATGATCAAACTCGAAGACGGACCACCGATGCCGTGCTACTCGATGGTTCCTTCAAGACTGATCTGCAAATTCGTGAGTGTGCCCCGATCATTCCTACGATCTGTCTGAATGGGCGCAATGTCGAGTTTTCGCGCATAGTATCGGCAGTCCCAGATCTCTTTATGAAGCCCGGCTGCGACTCAGCACGGTGCATTCCCAAACTATCACAGGACGCACACGACGGCGAAGTCCAAGCGGTGCAATGGAGCTCCTCGTCGAAGGTTCTAGCCACCGGAGGAGCCGACAGGAAGGTCAAAATCTGGGACTATAACCAATTCAGTGTTTCGCTGAGATGCCAGTTGAGCGGAAGCAACATGGGAATCACATCAATCGCAATCGACAGCGACGATCATCTTTTGCTCGCGGCTAGCAATGACATGTCTGCTCGAGTTTGGACGATCTCAGACCAGAGATTGAGGGTAAGCTCGACGGGGAGAATCCTGCGGGTTCCTCCAGCAGAATTTCGCGGGGATATATAGCCACAGGAGAACTCGTGGTTTTCCGGCTCAATCATCCAATTCACGTCTCAGAAGAGAAACTCCTTCGGCAGCACACCCTCACCGGCCATTCGGATCGGGTTTCGTCGGCGAAATTCTTCAACGGGGCACAAAATGTTGTGACGGGCTCCAGGGATCGAACGCTGAAGCTGTGGGATTTGAAAAAAGATTGCTGTATGCGGACGCTTTTCGCAGGCTCTTCGGCTACCGATGTCATCGCCAGCGATAATTCAGGTGAAAACTGACTGCCGGGAAGTCCTCAAGTCCTTGCAAGAAAACTCCCGGTAGCCTGCCCACTTCCATGATCACCAAATGATCGGACATCGGACGAATTATCGGGTTCCCTCTTACAGCGAGTAATATTGTGAGCAGTCACTTCGACAAAAAAATCCGCTTCTGGGACATGCGCATAGATTCAATGCCCACGGAGATCCTGCTCGCAAACAAAATCACCTCCCTGGATCTCTCATCGGACCGCTGCTATATCTTGTGTTGTGTCAGGGATGACACGCTGAAGGTGATTGATGTCCGAGCCAACCAAGTGATGTCCACGTTCTGGTGAGTGACCGCTTTCTCCTCTTCAGTGGCAGTCCGATCGAATGTCCCTTGAGTTGAAGTCGACTCGCTACGCGGTATCGAGCAGACTTCGAAGTCCAGGAGAGGATAATTTGAACGTTCATTTCAGCAACGACGGCTTCCGAGTGGGTAATGACTGGACCCGCGCAAAGTTCAGCTCTGACGGCAATCACATCGTCGTGGGGAGCGCAGACGGATCTTTGTTCGTCTGGAACACTCACCAGAATAAACTGGAGGCCAAACTCAAGGAATTCAAGTAAGTCTCCGTTCCCGATCCTCTTGCCGACCGGGATAGCCTCTTTCAGAACAAGCGACGGCAGGGCCCGAGCGCAATCGGGGTGTAGAGAGTGCCTGACGCGGAGGGTCGCGCCGTTCGAATTCATTCTAACAGCCAAACGCATTCTAGTTCCGCGGTGATCTGCACTAGCTGGAGTCCGTCAGGTGACTGCGTTGCCAGCAGCGATCGGGAACGGAAGGTGTGTCTATGGGGACCATGATTGTCCCTGACGAATAACGGCAGCAAATGGAAACAAGGTCTCATTCCTGCTACGAGCTCGCCATTCACTCAGTGTACATACGTACATATAAGTATCTACCAAGAAGCCGTTGGGCTCCTTCTGTCGATCCTGAGAATATGTCTCAGAGCATGTAGAACGCTTCGAAGTTTTCTCTGCTTCTGGGGAGCGGATCCATCAGTTGAGCAGCTGATTCCTCAGATCGTCCCACCTCTTTCTTGGGTCGTACGAAAAATAAAGAATTTATTACTGAAAACACATGTCAGAGTTTTCAGAGCGCTCTTCACGTGGCCCTTTGACGTCACAGACAACCTATCTCCTGTAAATAATTCCTAAAGAAGCCTTCCATGCCCACACCGAGTCAGTCGGCGATCCCCAGGCGATTCAGTTGGGGTTTGGGTCCTCGCGTCCCATAATTTAGCATTTAACGGAGTCCTGGAATATTTCATGGAGCTGCCCTGAGGGGTCATGAACTCCACCCGTGCGGATGTCACGAGATGTTTTCCCTGGCGCCCTCAGGAATGGCTTTATTAGATAATAATGAATAATGAGTCATCTGCCCATGTCTAAATAACAACGGCACATATCTGTCGGATTCCATTTCACCCGACCGACCTGAAGAAGGATTTATTTTCCGCTTCCGAGGCTTTGACCCTTTCTTCGTCTTGCGCGTCTTGAGTCAGACGCCAATAGGCTCCCTTCAAGGATGTCAGGGTGTGATGATCGCCGCTCTGTGTGAGGACAAAAAAACATTGGGATGACGCAGGAACGTATGTGAAAGTCGCCGTGGAACACGGAGGTCGACAGACATGCAGACAGACAACCGATTTTTGCCCTTTTGCAACACCAGAGCTTACCTCAATCACTTTCCCGTGATGCACCACGTAAATGATGTCGGCTTTCCTGATGGTGGAGAGTCGATGCGCGATCACGAGTACCGTGCGTCCCTTCATGATGTTGTCGAGAGTTTGCTGGACGACCTTCTCTGACTGCGTGTCCAGGGCGCTTGTAGCTTCATCCAAGATGAGGATCCGTGGATTTTTCAGGAGGGCGCGCGCTATAGCGATACGTTGTTTCTGTCCTCCGCTGACTGTGGCTCCTCGTTCTCCCAAGATTGTGTCATACTTGTTTTCGAAATTCATTATGAAGTCGTGTGCATTCGCCTGTTTGGCTGCCTCTATCACTTCCTTATCGGACGCGCTCGGCCGACCGTATCGTATGTTTTCAAGAATCGAAGTTGCGAAAAGGACGGGCTCTTGGGAGATCAGTCCGATCGCCTGACCTCGGAGCCATTCCAAATCCAGCTCTCGTACATTAACACCGTCGATCAGAACTTCACCTCCTTGAACGTCGTAGAATCTGAAACAGCCGAAGTGAGTCACAATAGGAAGTTGTCCTGAGCTGAGGTCGACATTCCTCGTCGATTCCCTGATTCACATCTGATGAAGGATTGATCATTACCGTTCGATCAATGCCGCGATCGTGCTCTTCCCGCAACCTGAAGCCCCGCACAGGGCAACAATTTTACCCGGCGGTATCGATATCGTTAAGTTGTCAAGAACTTTCTGTTCAGGTCGATTCGGGTAGCTGAAGTTAACGTTTCGGAGGCGAATTTCGCCGGCCAGGGTCGAGTCGTCGATGACCAACGTTCCGCCCCTGAGCGGGATTAGCGGCTCCTGTTTGATGAGCTCGAAGACGCGAGTGCCGCTGGCGACCCCTTTCACGTACTGGCCGAACAGGAGGAAGATCTGACCCAGGGATCTGGAATGATTCGGGAGCGGGGTCGATGTTCATTTATAGGCTGCCCCGGAGAGATCAGTCTTGACAACGCTAACAGACACGCCTCCAACGTACTTCTGGATCATCTGTGTCGCTACCATGAAACTCATCAGATTTCCGGTCGAGATCTGCCCGTCGTTTATCATTCTCCCGCCGACGAAGAGCACACCGAGCACGATGCCGTTGAGAGCAAGGTTGGTCAGAGCCTGGAATGATTGGAGAATCTATTCTTCATCTACTATTGAAGTGCTCCTCACGTGTGCTCCGAATATCGGCATGGTCCGGAAGTGTTAATGGCTCGAATCTGAAAGCTCACCTGGAATCCACCGATACCCAGTCCTAGAACGCTGTGGATGTGCTGTGATTTTCGGAGTTCTTCATGTACCAAGCTGAGTTCCGAGTCTTCCATTGCGAAGGCTCGGACGGTTCGAATGTTCGAGATCGCCTCGTCCGCAACTCCCGCCGCGTGAGCCTCCTGTGATGCAGAAGTCCATATTTTCTTATTGCTCGACAGGCCACACATTCCGGAATGCCGCACCCCCTCTCAGGGTGTGGTTAGCGCATGCAGATTGAAGAGGGAAAATATCTCGCCTGAGTTTGAGCTTCGATCGATATCTTTCTCAGACCCGCGCCGAGGCCAGTTCCGACGGCCATGATCAGCGGCACAATCGCCAGCATGAGCCCTGTCATTTTCGGGTTTATGTGGTAGAGAGAGAGGATACAACCTATGGTCTGCAGACGAAGGATTAGCTTAGCTCACCAGAGACCACGATGATTCGGAAAAATGAAACTGTGTGTCGCCCGACGGGAATCGGGCGTGGTGGGAATATCGAAAGATCCCCGGATCCGGCACGACTGCCGTCCCTCACCCCTGCCACTCACTTGGGCGATGCTCCTGAGCCCTTGGGATACGCACGACTTGAAGCAACTCTTGAAATCCTGGACGTCCCCGCTGATGACATTCATGATTGCCCCAGTTTTTGTTTTGTCGAAAAATGAAATGTCTTGTCGGAGAATCGATTTGAACACATCTTCTTTCAGGCGAGCGGACAGACGTTCGCTCACGTGAGCCAGAGTAGAGATGTAAACGACCGTGAAAAAACTCTGCGGGGATTTTTCCAATGCCTTACTCGCATCTTTGTCAGATGTTCTGGAGATGAGTAATTCAGTCGCGATAAATGCGAGATACGATACGAACCTGTGCCGCGTATAGAGCGACGAGACGGATTGCCGGGACTTGAACAGCTTCAACGAAAGACCGCTCGGCATCGTGGTTCAGAAAATTCGTCAAAACTGTTATTATGTCCCCGAGATAGACAGGGATTTGCGTATTGCACACCGCGGTCAACAGGGCGGTCTGCAATTCATTCAATACATCAGTTTTTTTAACTTTTGAGAATTTCCAACATGAGCCTCCTAAATAATGCTTGGCTTACGGCGACATCCGCCACGCACCGAGACGGCGATCAGTAGAAAGAACCAGTCTTTCCTGAGGTAGCGAAGAAATAATCCCCAGTCGAAGTCCTTTTTCGGTGCCCCCTGGAGCTCCTCGATGACCCTCGTCGCCTTCTTCTTCTTGCACTCAACAACCTGTTGAAAAGGAGCTATCTCTTGAGTGAGATCCACGACCTTCAGCGTGTGACCAAGAGCTAGCGCCTCCGAGGTGACATCTCTCTTCGAGATAAAACAGTGCCGTCATGAGCTTCATGGGCAACTCGGTTGCAGATTCGCTGATTACGAATTCCTTAATGAATCAACTAGACCAAGCTCGATACCTAGAAAAGAGACTTGGTTTGGATTGAAATGTGGCCATGCGATAAGGAGGAGCTCAAGTATTCGCAGTCTGTCTCTACTTCGGTAAGGGGGCGTAACAGACAGGGGACAGCAATCCAAAACGCTCTGCAACTACAATGAAAACTTGGTGGGAGAGCCTCGGTGCTGCGCTGAGCGCTCCGTCGACATGGATCTTTTGTACTGGACAAATCAAGCCAGCAACAGATTCGCAGATCAGAATCCGGTCCTCGTCCCCGTAGCCGGAAGCGTCAATTAGGAGGCGTTGTGAGGAACCTGGCTCTGATTCCTACCCTGCATATTCATTCCGAATCATCATCCTGCTTCGGTCCGTTGGCAAGGCTGACGACCGCAGCCAGGGTGCGAAGAATGTGAGCTCGTCTTCGGACGCTCCTTCCGAAGGCTTTGGCCACAGGGGCCGCACCCGACGAATCACTGTGCTAACTGGAAACACCGAGCACATCATCGCTCTCTACGAAGCGTCTCAAAAGACTCACAGAAGCTTCGGAATCTCAGGGTCTGATCGGGAGTCGATCCATGAGAAACAAACAAATGCCTTCTACGGCGCAATTATCGGTCCTTGTCACGGGGAAACTTGTTGATTCTCGGGAGAGCGGCTTGTTTGCCTACTCGAGATCGCAGGGGATGGCAGAGCTCAGTGATATCGGAACCTAGTTGGCGTGATGGACTTCGGTCCGAGTGTTCGTTGACGTTGACTATTCTGGCATGCTTCTCGCCGGGAGACGTCGACGACGCTCCACATCTTGCCGGTCTCTATTCCTGAGCTTGCTCCGATTCAGTCCTGCCGACTCACGGGGTTTCCCTGAGACAGGGGAATCTTGCTCAATTTCATGGATCCAAGCGGATCGATGCATTCATGGGAACTTGCACAGCTCGCGGGCTGCGTTGCGGTCATCGATGACCCTGTATGTCTCCGGGAAATCAGTGGATACTCGCGAACTTTCGGGGAAAAATCAATAGTATCTGAGAATATGAGGCCACGGCATTAGACGCGCTGTTTCCGCAAACCATCCGTCGGGTAATGAGACCCTTCGCTCCCATTTCCCAGCACATCTAGAGCGTTCTGGTACTGTATCTGAACCGTCATATGAAGGCACGAAGCCTTCTAGTGCTCCGACTATCTGTTCGAATTTGTGTCCCCCTCCCCCCTCAAGTTCGATTCATCTCATCCCCCCTGCTAGGCCGGAGCTCGAATGAGAAGCGACCAAGAGCTCGGATGGGCCGTATCTCGACATACTCACACTCAGGCTGGAGGCTTTATGGGCGAGTGTCGCGCTGAAGGCTGCTCCGGACAAGAACCGGATCGCGAGAGACACCGGCTCCCGTCGTGAAGTGCGGCTAGCCTGGGCGAGTTCCCGGATCGGAACTCTGCACGGGAAAGGAAAGTCTGTTTCATGGAAATGTTGAGAAGTCTTGTATACATTTATGAGGCTAATGATTTCTCCCATCCCCTGAGGAGCCGGTACAGCCCTCCGACCTCACCTTGAAACACGGAAACTCCGCACCAGCGGCTGACATCGCAGGAACTTCGAGAGAATCATCGCCGAAGCGTACTCTGCGCGATCTATGAAGAGGGTCGGCTTCGTTAACAGAAAGGAAGTCAACGCAAGATTGCCGGTCTAGAGAGCTGTCGAGTGTCGACAGGGCGGTATTCTCCACTTTCCTCTGAGTGGATATATGTATTGAAAGCAAACGATCATCGGGAGTCTTAATCTTAGCTCCGAGTCCATTGCGCTGCGTCAGTACCTAATCACGGCTTTCCGGAGCTCTTGAGGAGGCCGAGGCCTGGAAACACGTCTCGGTACACTCTCACGAAGTAACAGCTCACTCCATCCCCGATATTCTTCGTATCGGACACGATCGCATTACAACCCGTCGCCGGCTGCGCGATGTGCTGCAGTATCGTTCGAATCGTCTGCTTGCCGGCTGTTTCCCCCCGTCCCGTCGATCAGCTGTTGGGTAGAAAACAAAGCGCGGCATCAGTTGAAGTTTCGCACTCATTCCCGAGGGAAGCGATGGTGGGATCGTGTACGTTCGTAGCCAGAAATGAGCTCACTGTTGGATGAAGTCATAGTCACGGAGGGCTCCCGGGTTCTTGTAGAGTTTTTCAGCGCCTTGCGTTCCCCCGCGAGCCGACGAGGGCGCACACAAAGAGGTGCGCCCCCCTTCCATGGATTTTCTTAATCACTTCTCATGCCGAGATTCTTCATTCATGGCTTCTGCATTTTCGTGCGAGAAAATAAGGGTATGTACGAGAAGCCTGTGTCCTGCTTGCAGAGACCGCACCATCACTTGACACGTCTTTTTTCTACAATGTTTTCATCTACAATGATTTCAGTGTTGACATGGTACCGATGAGTGCCGTCTCGAAATTCGAAATTCAAGGATGTAATTATTGCGCGTAACCCATTTCCTCCCTTTTCCTGCTTTTTGACGGGCACAGCGGCTTCCTTCCGGCAAAGAAGTCCTGAAAGAATTGTGTTTCGTTCCTTCGTCTCCCGTGGCGGAGAGAGCTCACGAATCTTCCCGAGATCGAGAGTCAAGAACTGACAGGGAGCATAGCTCTCTTCTCCGGTCATATCTCTTTCTTTTTTATTCTGACGTTCACCGCGAGCCGGATCGTCAGTGAACGAAAACTGGGCTCTTCGAAACCACATAAATTGAGAAGTCGAATATAATACTGTATCCGTGTCCGAGAAGAGGAGTAAAATCGATTCGAGGACTCGCGAAATACTGTTGATCACAGTTCATCTTTTGCCGCTTTGGAGCAATGGCACGTGCTCGACTCAGCGTGTTCAACCGATTCCATATCATCCTGAATCTCCACCGGACCCTCTATCAGCTCCGAGTATTCCTGGAAGTGTGAAGAGCACTAACAGTCACGAGTACCGAGGATACTTATAACACATATGTATACATATGTATATACATGACCCTGAGGAAAGCATATTCACTTGTAGAAGTTGAACGTAATAGCAGTACACGTGATGAGGGAGCAATGCATCATTCACAATTTGTCGGCCGTTCTGAGCTACTCGGGCACAATGATCTTCGTTGTCTATGCAGAACTTTATCTTTGGCAGAAGATCCGAGAGATCTGAACGTACGGGGACGTAGTGAACGTCTTCTTTCAACAGTGAATAGAAGTGTTCGTAGTACATGGAGTCAGGCTTCAATACTGTGCTCCCTCCGCTCAAGAGGAACGGCATTCTGTACGCGGCAACAGTCCCGTCGATATTGATCTGGTATTTATACTGCAATCCGAAACCTCGAATCAATCCAATCCGTCACAGCCGTCGACGACGGAGCTGTTGAGTTGGAGAAGGATCGACTCGCTCGAATAGGATGTAGAAAACCGAGAGGAGCGGTGCGGTTCCTCACCTCGAAAAAGTCGAAAAAGCTCACATGGGGTGAGCCGCCTCCGTAGTTCTCCATTCTGTCCCTAAAGAAGAAAAAGTTCGTAATTGATGCGTTGAGCAATTGAGGGTCCTCCTGCGAAAGCTCGACGAGACGCAGTCGTTCCTCGCGGGAGTCCCGTCCTCTCCAAAAGGCCTTAGTTTGTCGTTCCGAATACGGCTGGCTGGCGCGATCCTTAAACCGAGAGAAATCGATAGATAGGAATTAGACGGACGGATCGGAAGATTCAATTAGCCGAGAGTCTTACGAAAGCAAGACACTCCGACTCGTTGCGGTTCCAGATAGATCCAAGGCCTGAGGGAGACAAGATTCACCTGGACCGAAAACACGTCCACGGAAACACGTCGCATCATGTAAACCGATGCTTCTGTCAGCTCGTATGTTGGCATGACGATGTCGAGCGAGTCCTCAGAGCCACACCAAGAGAATATTGGCACTTGAGGCGAATAACGACGCTCATTTTTTTCGCAAGGGGATAATCCCCCAGATTAACCAAAAAATCCACGTCTGGGAGCTTGACCTGTGAGGAAGAGAACTCCGCCGCTTAGTTCGCTTTCCCGAGCCGCAGCTCACGATAATTAATCTGAGAGCTCCGGAGCCGGATCTCGGTGATCTCTGACTCCCGCTGACCTTTCGCACGAGACTTAGAAGGATGCTGTCCATGAACATTTTGAATCCGGTATATTCCCCGAGGCACTTGCGATAGATCTGATTGCTCTTGATGACGTAATTGCACAGTGAAATTGAGTAAGGTTGGTCAAAGAATTTGTTCATTATATCACGATTGTAGCTTGGTCTTATCCTGTGCTTCGTGAAATACGATAGGTCGTCGAGGATCTGATCACTGATTTTCGGACACTTCGCCACATCGATGAGCCATCGTTGGATCCCCACAGGACAGTCGCACTCTTCAGGCTCGATTGGACCTGTGAATCGAAATGAGAGAAAATCTTCATGGGGATCGGAATCGAAACCGAATGTTCTCTACTGTCGGGGCGCCTACTTCAAAGGGCGATGCGGAGACACCTCCGAGCTACTCTCGAAAACCGAACCATTGACTTCTCAAAGGGGACAAAATTCTGCATCGTATGCGGAAGACCCACCTTCGATGATTTCGGAAGCGACCCTATGGCCGTCATAAATCACGGTGAGGACAAGGTCGTCGAAATGAGTGCTATGCGGACGAAAGCGATACAGGAGGCGAGAACGGTCGTCGGCCGTTTTCAATAAATCGTGTTGATACTCTTTGATTCTGCCAGTAGATTTGGAGCGCAATTCCACTTCTATCAGGTCTTCGGTGACGTTTGTGAATCTGGAGAACAAAAAACGGCAGAGCAATCGATTATACCGAAGTCCCGCCTACAGGACATGCCCCAAATTAGAAGTATGCTCGCCTCGAATGAATGGATATCGATACCTTTGGTTCAATTCATCAGTGAATTGCATGAACACGTATCTCACGGGCAAAACGAATTCTCCTCGGAGTCCCGGTCCCCAAAGCGAAACTCGAGGAGTTTGAGCCACGGCGACCGGAAACGGAGCTAAGAGGCCCAGGAGACATCCCAAGAGCACTCTCATGATGTTTCATTTGAGGGAGCCAGTCTCGACGAGGGGATCTCGACACTGGAATAGAAACTAATCAGTCCCTTATTCCTCTCCCTTCACGATGCCCCTCTTCAACCATCGCAGGGCTCTCTCCTGAAAATTCGGCGTCGAAGTATGAGTTGTTGAGGAATCGATAGAACTCTCTTTGTAGAGGATCCGCGAGATTGTTTCCGAGCGAGGAGGGAGAATTCTCCGGACGTCAGGCTCAATCGTAATGCGGATTCTTCCGGGTCTTCCCATCAATGCGTCGCTATCCGTCTCGGAAATGGAGAGTGATTCTTGGATGGTTCCGGTACGGCAGCAGCTTCGTTTAGATGCGAAGCCAGCATTTGTCGACCGAAACCCGGTCTTGCTCCGAATGGTTTTCATGCTGGATATTCCCCATGAAGTCCGTGAGTAACTCTGGAGAAGTCTGGATAGAATCCATATACAGTAGAGTCCCCTTAATTCGCGTTTTTTGGGAGTCAACTTTTCGGGAAAGCCGCGAATCGCGAATTATCGGGATTTCGCGCAATATGGGGTACTCACGCATTCAATTCATAGGCGAGTCGAATTGGAATGAGGTTTTCATCAGATTTAGAGACTTTCCCGCAGCTTCCCGCTGGAGAATGTCGGCGCATAGCGAATTTCTGATTCCGCGAACTACCCGGGGTGCGAATTATCGGGACTCTACTGTATTCATCCTTCCGTCTTTAGGGGAAGACTTTTCGGAAATCAGATGAAATATGTGAAGACTGGTCTAGTCTGTTCGGATATGTGCATGGAAGACTAATCGATAAGTCAAAAACCGGGAAGAGATCTCGGCTTGGAATTTTCGAATCCACGACTGCGACTTCTCTGGCTTAGCAGAGGTGCCGACTCTGGCTTTTGGGGCTGTTTTCTGAATTCTAGAGGGTGGAGTTGAGCAACCTCCCTCGAGTTTGTCGAAATCCGCATCGTACTTCTGAGCTCGAATGGTGAACTAGCTCGAAGGATTTGAATAGGAGAGCACTGGGTCGCCAGAGAGTGGACGAAGCTGAGCTCCACGAATTTCTGGTAATACGTGCTAAGAAGCTCATATTTTGATAGGAGCTCTCTGCTCACGTTTGTTTATAACTCGGTCCCGAGCAGTAGTTCGTAGAGCTGCAGGAGTTCAGAAATCGACTCAAATCAGTCGGCGTTCCCGTGGTGCGAAAACATCCAGTGTCCATGCCCTCTCTCTGGACCGTTTCCCTTATTTTGTTAGCCTGATGTCGAGAATGATCCGAATCAGCTGACGCTCCGACAGAGTTTAACGCTCTGACACTCCCTCCCAAGTGAGACGATCACACGTGATGCGAGCGTCGGAACGCGCGTAGATCGACAGAGAACCAGAGCGCGAATAGTGGTGAGGAGTCGGCACTTATGACTAACGAAAAGCCATAGAGTGGGAGTGATACTCACCAACGCATGGTGTCAAAACACATAGGAATGAATCGAGAACATGAGTCGGAGGCAGACGATGGTCGGGGCCAGAACTGAATGGTCAGAACAACCAGCGGCGTTCTCCGACGGTGTCGGCGTTGTTGTCGGTGCGGTTTTCGAGGAGAGGGGGAGGAGCATCACGAAAAAGAATCAAGAGCATCCACTTTGCGGATGGCTCCGACTATCGTCTGCCGGCGATTCATGCGGTCGACTCATTATTCTTTTGACACCGTGCGTTTGTGAGTTCAAATCACCAGTCTGCCTGTTTGAATTCCCATCAGTACGGACAGACGGGTGCGGGATCAGAACCAGGATAGGTCGGGTCCTTGTTATCGAAGTTCATTGTTGGGAGTATCCGGTGGAAACTCTCACGACGGCTCTCCCTCGCACGGGTCTCGATTCCGTCAGGACTCCGCGCAATCCAATGCGTCCATCGGAGCTCGAGCCCGGAACTCCGAATGGACAAGCGGGCAGAAATTCTGAAAGGGCTGGACTGCCCAACTCCACCAAACGGGTAGACTCCTCACTCAGATATCGGCTGCTCGAAAATCATTCGGATAGCGGTCATTATCGCCGCTGGGTGAATTTACTCCTCGGGATCACGGGAAGAAGACTTCCTCGTCGATATATATGCCGCCTGATTCCGCCCTGAATTTACTGACTGAGTTCAATCCCGAGGATCATCTGTGTAAGGAACGTGAAGATTATCGAATTCATTTTCACGGCACAGAGCCCCCACGAGAATCGATCCTGCAAATAAGCGGGATAAGAAGTTCGGAGATTGTCGGGGTTCTCCCTTATTGCAGAGCCGTCACGAGACTCGAGCCCGACAGTTTCTGGCGGAAAAAAAAATCCGAAAATCACGGAACTCCATCCGCTGAGCCCTGGAAAGAATCCACTCTGATATTCATCCGCATGAGGGCTCTGTGCTCTGTGGATGAAACTGCGACGATTTCCGGGTCTCTCTCGGGATGGATTCTCAGAAATTGTCGGTGTGCTGCGGATAAGAGTCGGATAGCCTTAGGAGTTTCGAAAACCGCGCTGAGCTGGCTAGCTCCGCCTATCGCCAATATGGCCGCTCCTTTGGCGCTCGGCGATGATCGGCGCTGCGCGAGAGAACGGCAGGAGACGATGACCTAGAAGCGAGACACTGTCGCTCAGACTCTACGCGCAAGCTGCCTACTGATGGGCGATTTCGGAAAGCGTAAGCCCCGCGGCAACGGACTCATTATGCCGACTGATTGCCGGCGGCGATCGGCGACGTCAGTCGCGCGATGTGACATCCCTAATGCTCACTGAGAGCGCGACCGAAGTGCTACTTCTGTAATGTAGCGAAAAGTGACAACTATCTATTCAAAAGATACCGGAAAATCTGAATGTAGTCGCCAGAAATTTTTCAGTTTCGGTCTCGACCAGAGTGTCCTAAACGAACTTTTGCCCTCCGCGGATACTCTCGGCGGAGCAACGCATTGTGATGACCCTTTGTCCTGTACTTTCGAAAAGATCAATGGAGTCTGCTACGGGTGGGAACCTCGAGCTTGCTTACAGGTTCACGACACACTTTTCCTACACAGAGCTATTAGCACACGGCATTCACACCGGATATTGAGCCTAACCGCAGGTAAAATGCAGCCATCATGAGTCATTGTTGCAGTCATCGACTATCATGCAGTATCACATCCCGGCCCGGACGGGCGATCTCCCAACCGATTGCAATCATTTAATATCGTCCGCAATGCCCTAGCTCTTGGGTACGTCCCGAGGCACTCCGCTGGCTTTAGTGATGCGCCGCCGACTCGCCTGGCTCCTTCTTCAACATTAGATCCGCCTCGGATCAGCTGGTAGATTCGCAGCCGACTCCTTGATCTGCCGTCAGCAGCACTCCATCGTAGTCAATATTTTTCAGTTACCAGTCAACGTGATCTGATCTTCCACCGGAGGCAGCCAGCGCTTCTAAGTCCGGTTGTTTAGAACACCAGTTCTTCAACCCCGCCCCTCTCATTCGTGATAGAGAGGCCAAGTTTTCCCGATCATATATCGAGTTTCCGGGGAACTCCGCTCAACTCGGAGTCTTCGGAGACCCTCTGATAGCGCAGCGCTCTCCACGCGAAGTCGACAGACTGGTATCTTGTATTTTCGATCTCAGGGTGTGCCTTCGCCTAAGAGTCTACAAACCCCGACGAGTCACGTTGATGCGGATCTGACTTTCATCCAGAGGAAGCGTTGAAATCTCAGGATTTGCGGACCGGCATTAGTTCCTACGGGGTCACTCGGAAATTCTCCTCGCTGAGCATAATATGGTATCGTTCATTGACGAGCGTCCTGCGAGGAAGCTCCTTGTCGCTCATCCTTTCGAGGAGAGTGAGCCTGGCTCCGTGCTTCAGTCTCATCGAAGCAAACGATATGAAACTGTGAGGTGAGAGGTGATCGTGAACTCGTTCGACACAAGGTTCCTAATTCTTGTCAACTTGACTCTTCCCGCTCATCGGATTCACTATGAGCAATGGAAGTCGCGAGTCAAAATCAGAAGCCAGGCCCCGAATACGATATGAAGACGCCCCGGAGATACGGTCGTTGTCTCGAAGAAATTACGGTCTGCGATCTCAACAATCCTCAGGGAACCCCCCGCCTTTCCTCGTGGGAGCGTTGTTGCTGGGACGATCGATCTCTCGTCGAGATTCTGCATTCATCCAAAGCGAAACTTTGCGAGCCTTTCGATCTGTTTTTCAACGTCTCATTCTCCTGACAATCGCGACTTTGAGAACACAGTTCCGATATTCTGAATATCTTCACTTAGGGAGAATTTTATTCGTTACTCCTCGGTGGGTGTTGAATGGGACGAGCCTATATATAACGGCCGCACGCCGGCCGAGCAGGATCGCCTTCAAATCGTGTTCTTGGTCCCGTTAGTCTGATACATACTGAATAGCTCATCCAGGTCTCGGATGGCTCCGTCTTCTAATCGATCGACCTTACGCATGTGATTCAGAACGTTCATGTACACCAGCTCGATGGCATCCATGGCCCATAAATAATCAAGGTGGAGGAACTTGGATTTTTCTATCGAATACCAGCCGTTGTCAAAAACTAAGTGTTTGACCTTCGGGTACAGCAGAGCCACGCCATCGGGACCGGCGAAAGTGTCATCTTTCGAATGGAACGCAATCAGACGAACCCGAACGTTGTCGAGATCATACTCGGGAGGTCGTTTCTGAAACGCGACAGAACCTTGATTCGAAAGTTGACAATCGCTTTCCGCTCCGTCAAGATCCGACATTCAACCGAGCGAGCAGAACAAACGAGAGCTCGCGAACTCGCCGGCAGATAGCCCCCTGACCTTGCCGTAGATGGCCATGTTTGTTTTGACTCCTGGATAACAGGTCGGTTTATCGTCATAATCGAATTTCGCGAACCGTCCTGATTCGATTATTTGGAAGAAATGAACGAAGTCCTGCACTGTCGTCCCCGCGGGAGAATTCACGGCGTAGACCGGAACCCTGGACTGGAATCGAGAAACATCTGAGAGACTCCAGGTTCTCTTCCCAGCGAGACACGCAACGGACTGCGAATTTCCGTGTTGAAGCTTCCGAAAATGTAGATAACGAGAAGAGAACTTACACTGTTGAATCGGGGATGTTCCACATTCCGCAGAAGCGTCGGGTTCATGCCAACATTCAGCATCGTACTACAGAGGGCCCCGCCGCCGAGGGAACATACGAGGGGATTCATCATCGTGAAGCCGACATCATTGACTTTTGAGCTGTCGAATATTCGATTTTTCGAGTATCCAAGACAATCCATCACTCCTTTCTGGGGGACGAAAAGAAGAAAATGGAGAGGCTCAGTAGGGTCAGTGTCGATGGAATTGAATTCCGCTGAAGTCGCGATGGTCGCGAGGTGGTCGGGATTGGGGGGAATACCCCCGACGCGAAATGCAATGAGATTCGGTTGCTCATTTCTGAATACTCTCCACGACGGAGTGAGACCCGAATTATCGTCCGCGAACATGATTAGAGTTGTTCGAAAATACAATGAAGCTCTGATCGAGGAAGGATCGATAGCTCTTGCCTTACCAGCTCGTGCATGATGCTCTTCAGGATCGACCAAGCGGGACTAAGGTCAAGGTACACAATCGGGGAAAGAGCAGTGAACAGACGGATCTGTGAAAATAATTTGTGACTCGAGTCAAGGACAGAGGAAATCCCGCGACCGAAGACCGAGATACGCGGAGCTCTCAATTCGGTCCACTACACCTTTTCGTTGTATTCTGGTTTCGTCGCTAGAAGGGCAAATAAGATGGTCGTTCCTCTAGAGTGGCCGATGTAGTGGAGATTCTTGAAGCCCGTCAACGACAAGATCGAGTCGATGATGGCGGGCATGTCGAACTCGGCCATTTCCATGAAGCTGACGACGGAAACGGAAACATTGAAAAATAAATCATGAAGGTTTACATGTACGATGCTCGGCGACGCTGTGAGAGCATCTGCCTCTGACTCGCGGTGGTATTTGAGCCCTTCCTGTCCAAGGGACACGGGTTTGTGGCATTGAGGCACGTCAGCATCGCATAGGATCGCCGATGGGCTTCTGCGTTGGCAAGCTTCCCAAAACGAGATGCCGAAGTAGCGTCTAAACAGGCCTCACCGGGATTTCCTCAGTCTCCAAGGAAGCATAATACTTTTCTCATTTCACCTGATGTGAGTGAACGCTTTGTCTCTGAGAGAGCTCTGCGTCTTCCGGCTGCCGGAGCATCGTAAGATTTTTGATGCTCTGCCAGGATGCAGGAAAATCTTGATAGAGATCTGACATGGTGGCCCTCCTCTTGGAGGGTGGGGTTGGATGAATACATACAGAGGAACATTTCCTCCAAGTAAGTACGCTGATGCTAGCAATATGGAGACTTGCTCGAGAGAATACAGTCTCCGAAGACTTCTCCGCTCTCTGTCGTCGGCGCTGCGAGCATGAGAGCAGGATTTCCGCTCGTGTATGGTGGAACCGTATTCTGAGACGAAGACGCGGCTGACCTGATATAGTAGAAGTTCTCTTTCGTTGCATCGCTCCAAGAACTGAACTTATTGCCCCGCGTGTTCGGTAAATAGACGTCATACCCCATATTCGCCAGGAAGAAACCGGGGGCCTGGTGCGGGGGGTTGGCGATGAAGTCGAAACCAGAGCTGACCTGAGTTCGGAGCGAAAAAATTACTGGATCCGTCGGCATGCTAGGTAAGTATTTATGCGGCGCGCTCATCCTCCGGTTTCCCCACGGAAGTGCGGAAATCCACTTTTGACTCACCACTCCGTGTTGCAGAATTACGGGGATGGACTTCGGTGAGTACGTCCGAGGATTCCTGACGCGGAATATCGTCAGTATCACTCCATCGCTTGTCGTGATGTTGAACTCATGAAAATCATAGCCATAGCTCTTCACGTAGTACTCCTGCGAGTGGGAGTGTTCTCAATTAGACTCTCGAAACTCCTCCGGTCAGGAACCCTCCCGTTTTATGCAGCCCTCGAGACAATTAATCGCATGCTTTCACCGGGGGCGTATCGTTCTTGCAGAGCTCGGGGATCAAACCCATCGTGAATGGCTGTTCCTAGTGGCGAATCGAATTCCCCCCCAGCGAATAACCTTCGGTCCCAACACTATAGCCCGGGCCACGAGGGGGCGCGTCATGATTTCGGCCATTGGCCCCCTAGAAATCTGACTCCCCCCCCCCCGACGAAAAAAGGTGGATCCGCCCTGGGCCATTCCACCTCACTTGTCGATGCCAGCCGTGAACTCGCGGCAGATCTCGCTTGGCGATCAATTTCTGCGCCCCGGAGCCCGGAGCATGCGCGATTCCGGCTAAGGGCCACATCCGAAGCGAGGCGAAGGTAGCTTGTTTCAGTGAAGTTTGACTCGTGGGATGAGATATGCGCACAGATTCGTTCCACTCAAATCTACAGAACGGCACTGGTTTTCCTTCCCGTCGAAACATTCTCTCCATGAGTCTGATTCGCACAAGCAGGACCAGGAGATGTGGAATTTTTCAGAACGGGATACTCTCTCGACTGATGATTCACCCGGTGCGATAGGGAATGATTGCAACATAATATTAATGACAAGAATACATAAACTTGCCACGCTTTTGATGACATTGGAAACATCAGGGTCGTTCGAAGATCGCTCCCCGAGTCTATCCACTGTCTTGTCGATAGTGTTGAACAGCTGGCTTGAAACTGTCTTCGTCACATCTCGAACCGTATTGAGCAGCTTCAAGGAGATTGTACCACCGACCAGAGCTGAAAAGTTCGTTTCGGTAACTTATGCCCCGCCCATGTCAAGGAGTACAGAGTTTCTCCCGATATCGTCGATATTATCGAGAGGTAGATTGCGGCCCTCGAATTCGACCCGCATTCAACTCGGGGATACCCTCACAGGAAAACGCCGACGCCAAGCCGTAGACGCGTAGTCTGAGTGTGAAAACAGCACTGGCCGGCGGAACCGAAAGGTCATTGGCCCCCGATCTCCGAACGCGGGGTCTCCGCCGGCTTCCGTGCTTGTTGAGAGTTCATGGCGTTTCGCCGCTCTCACGAATTGAGCCATCATCGGAAGATTGCTTACCCGTTACGAGGACGATTAGTTTGAGCATTCTCCGACATGCGGAAACTTCAGATCAAATGGTGAGATGCACCGAATCCTAGGTAATCCACACGAGCGGTTGCTATGTGGTAAGGGCAATGCCAAAAGGGAAGTGTAATGAGTTCGGTATAGGGATGCATGGAGCATGTTTATGTGGGTCCCGTTTTACGAGAGACTTCCTGCTCCAATCCAGTCGAGCTTATCGACCGCACGTTACCCGTGGCCCGCCTCGCGCCCGCTACGGAGTCAGGAGTCGAGGGCTTCAGAGCTGTAAGCTTGGAAAGAAGTCATTTGGGTCGCGGGTGATCCTGCATTTATTACAATATAACGAGGGCCAATCGTCGAGGACCTAATTCCGCATCAGCCGGAAGCAGTTTCCCTGAGGGCAGTGGTTACTAATGCCGAGAATCAGCGACTGGCTTGGACCTGTCGACAGCCAGGTCTGGTGAGGGTAATCGAAGATCGGAACGTTCGATCGGGAGTTTTCTGGCGGTCCTATACGGAGAGACGAGATCGCGCTCTTGAGGAATTTCAATTTTCCACTCGGGTAATGCTCGCGGCCGAAGGTCGGTCCGAAGCATGATACAAATTAGCCGCTTTCCGCTGGCGGAATGGGTATCGTTCAGCAGTAATCGGATCCCATCAATAAATTCCTTTCCTTGTCAATATTGTCGGATACTCACGCGCGTGAACTCGCCTCGATCGTCGGAGGGGCTTTCGCAACATCCTATTTGTAGTTCGGGTAATTTAGCCTCAATTTCATCCCTCGACTCATTGCATTCCCCGTATTGTAGCTTCGAAGCTTTGCTCTTCATTCGATGCGGGACCCTGACAATCATTTCGAAGTTCAGGCATAAAGTGAGAACAATGCCCTCATGGGACTGAGGAAGGAAAGGGCAGATCTTTCAATTTATTGTCCCTTTATGAATACTATCTTACAATCCTATCGAACTTCGGGGAGGAAAGCGAAAATCGATCGGAGTCCTGGCCAGGTGGTGGAAGTCTCTTGGACTCGTTTTGACAACAGCAGTGATTTCCGCTCACGCGATGCTCGATTGTCGATTCCGAATTCTCCGTCCCATTGCGAGTAGCGCGACAGCTTTGAAGTTCGATCACAGGGACGCGAGGGAGACCTCCGTTCCGAACGAGGCCCCCAGTGATCCTCGGACTCCGAATCGATCCGTCGTTAACGTGATGCGTCGGCGAATCAAGTATCATGGGGTGAGATCCTAGAGAAGCGAGAGCAGCTCTCAACGTGAGAGAGATCGGGAACATCTCTGTACGTTTTTCCACGCAATAAACAGCAATCTATAGGCCCCAATGTTCAAAAACTCGCATTTCCATTTTGTGCGTTTTTTGTACTCGTACTCCTTTCCCTTCTTCTTCCGTTCGATGTCAGAAAACATCACAAAACTATTCGAGGTGTGTTCACTATTTGGGACGCAGGATGCTCGAACTTCGAGCCCCCGTAATTCGCTGTTGCTCCATTTTTTCGGCTGCTCGAGAAGCTCGGTCGTGATGACGTGGGTAAGAAAAAGGGGAGGGGTCCCCATCGTAATGCGAGGAGTGACCGAAATCTCCTCTGAGACGAATTGTATGGCAAAGGAGATCGCTTCCTTTTCCCTCTCAGCCCTGATTCCATCGCGTCGAATTCGCGTAGAAGACGCCCGTGGGTCGATCGTGGACTCGGTGTCCATCTCCCGAATGGGAATCGTTCATTGAGACGATTCATCCGTCAGCGGCGAACGGGGCGTCCGAATTACGCGGTTTCCTTGCGTCCCGTTCCGAGCTCAAATCGAGAATATAATATATCCTAATTCTTCGCTAAGAAGCTCACGACACCCACGGTCCCCAGAGCCGCTGAAAGGGCGCTGGTGATGGTGAAGCCCAAATGCAAGTCCAGAATTCCATTTGCGGGAATCGAAAGGCAGGCTCCCAAAATTGATCCGATGAAAGCCCAGACAGACACCAATGAGAAGGCGGCATCGAAAGCTCTCAGGGCTCCCGCTTCAGTGACCCTGGGAGCCAGCAGAAGCAACGCCTGACCGACACCGAGTCCGAATAAGCAGAAACTCGCGTGAGGCGCGCTCGTGGGAAAGACCCGACTCGTCGGATAGCCTGGTCCCAGGAGATACACCGACGCGGATGTCAGCGCCGATCCGATTGCGTAGATCAGCGACATCGGAAGACACGAGTCCGGCGTGACGAAGGGAGCGAACACCGGCGTCATCAAGCAGCTCGCGATGTCCGGCAGAGCGACCAGTCCACCGATCGCGAGCGGCGGCAGTTTTAAGGATCCGTCGAGCAGGAACCATAGGGTGCACAAGTTGAAACCTTGACAAGTGTATGGCACAACGACGAAGAGAAACTTCGACAACTTGAAAGGCGCGGTGTAGCTGAGCGTGGAGACCGTGAGTCGGTCTTCGAGACAGTGTTTATCCACGACGAACGTCAGCGTCACGAAACACACTATCACGGATCCGCCGGCTGCGAAAAACGGATAGTAGAACGATCCGTCGCTGTAAATCATCCCGCCGACGATGGGTCCGAATACGAATCCGAAATAGTAGAGGCTTTGGTTCGCTCCGAGGTACATTGATCTTTTGTTCTCGAAATGGAAACGGATGTAGTTTTCGCTCGCGTCGTGGAACATTGCGCAGCCAGCGCCCTCGATACACCGTAGCAGAACCGCCAGGAAAACGAATCCTGTATTGCACGGTACGAACTCCAGGAGTCCGAACAGAATCACGGCGAGTGCCACTGACGCGGAACCTGCGAGTAACACGGTTTTGCATCGGAACGCTCGACGGTATAGGGCGGTCGTGACGAGCGCGAGTACGAGCCAGTAAGCGATGAAAATCACACTTGTCCAGTATTTGGGAACGTTTCTCCTCGAAATCTCTGCGGGCAGCACCGGAGCTTGTAGAGCCGCACAGCATGACAGGAAAAACTGCTCACTGAGATAATAGTGGCTCCGTTGCGGAAAGCTCGCTTCTCCCTCCTTCTCCGACGGGCAACATTATCCCCGGCTTCCAGTATAACATCTCCCGAGTTCCTACTGGCACTTGAAGTCCGATTCGTCTCGCGCTCTCCCGGATGCGCTCTGACCAGAGCTGGCGGCGGAGGTTCCTCGCAGCGATTGAGAGACATCTGCTGAGACTGTGGAAATGCGATCGACGGATACCCTAGCGCTTGCTCGTCGGCCGAGACTCAACCGCGTTGGAAATTCTCTCCGAATAATGTCAGGAGACAGTACGTGGAAGCGCTCGCGTAGGCTACGTGGATTAACGCTTAAATCGAGAAGAAATCGAAACAAAATCCAATCGAACCTGGATCATGTCCCAGACATTTCTTTCTAGGCCAAGGTTAACTTCAGATGATTTCCTGGGAGCGTTCTGAAAAAAACTGGGGGTGGGATTGAGCGGAAATCATGATGCCTGACTCTCGACGACAATCATTTCGGTCAACCACCCTGCGAAACAATCTCATAGGCCTGATAACGGGTAAATCCACTTGAGATCTATCCTATCGATGACGATGCGATATCGTAGTTACACCGGGCCCTGTTTCCGGTACCGCACCGGTGTGCGGATGGGACGCAGACAGAATGTTCGATCGATTCTCCTGATCGAGAGCTGTAGCCTAGCTCCAGAGCTACAGCTCCAGAGCTGTAGCCTAGCTACTAGGATTTCGATTCTATTTCGATAATTTCCATTTCCTACCGAGAATAAGTATGTATCTCAGAAATCCAGCGCGCAAGCTCCGGCATCAGACATTTGACCACTCTAATATTTGCGAGGGGGCGACGTGCGACCCATTCGAGTATGAGTCAGGTGGTCAACTGCGCACATGCGGTCGGGCTCTGCTGGATGTAGAACAATTCTGGAGAGCGGGGAACAAACGCTGCTCGGGCCTTTCCCGTGTGATCCGAGTCGCACTCTGACATCGCCGAGAGCTCCGAGGTTCCACAAAACGATGCCACAACGAAAATATTTAGCTGAATCGTCGACTCTCTGTTCCTAGAGCCGGGAAACTTGAGTAGGGGAAGGAGTCGTGGATTGCATAAGAACTCTTCGGGAGAGACCTCATATAGTATCGAGTCGGGAGCCAAAGGAGCGTAACCTCAGCGATACTGCAGGCGAGTGCTGATTCGCATCGAGCAGAGGATTTCGGCGGGGAGAACATGCATATTTCCCCCGCAGCACAGGGGATCTTCGCAAGGAGCATGAACGAATTCTTCCCCGAAGCGACGACGACAGTCTGCGACCTGTCCCCACAAAATCGATGTTCGATTCTCTACTACGTCTCATCCACATCACGGCTAACTTCCTTATGCGATTCAGGAGAGGTGATGAATTGGGGACCTCATCGATCTGCCATGGCCTTCTCTTGAGACAAGGGAATTCGTATGAGCTGTGCCTTGAGTTTTTTGAGAGATCCTCTGGTCCCGTCGACTTACGCTCCGATTCAGGCTGCGAGAAAACTCGTATGACTCGATCCACGCAGCGTCGGTGCGCCACTTCTCAAGCTCTCCTGAGCAGGAATTCCCGACAAGTTTTCGATCCGAATGCGGCCGAGCAACCAATCAAGCCATTCATTCTTTGCGATGCGGTGATTCGGCTCAAGAGATGATATCGCTAATCATATCTACAGCCTTGTGAGCTCCCTTGGAAGATACCTGTGTTTCCGCTCGAGCCCTGTCAGGTCATGAAAAGAAGTTTAGTGTTCGCGGCGTTTCAAAACTGCAATCATTCGCTCGATGTTGCCAAATTCGAGTGAGAAGTTTCTGGATTGAGTCATGCCACAACGCTTCCCGTTCACAGTGTATCACCAAACAACGGACGCTTTTCCGTGCGAGGAGCTAATTATTGGAGGCTTTATGCCCTGCGGGATGGACGGCTTCCAGGTTGAAGAGCGTCTACATAATGTAAAGTCTATGGGACGCATCAGTGCCCATCATCAGCCCTCAAGTGACCGATATATTCTCCAGCTGCGTGGTCGACTTGATTGCTACGAAAATAAAAATGCTTTACCAATGTCTTAATCGGCTTTGCGGACACCACAAAAAATCTCTGAACACATCTGGCGTTTTTTTCCGAGGATTTTCCGCACTTGCCGACTTGAAGTAATCTCGACTCCCACATTGTCCCACAAAGACTCATCCATTATTCAAGGCTGCTAGAAGCGGCACTCCGGGAAGAGAAGCACTCCCGAGCCCGGCAGTATCCCCGTTTGGATAGCACCAAATTCTGACGTCCGATTTCTAGAAAACTGATCTCGCGATGATTCGTCACGGGAAACCGCAGTGGATTACTGCTTGGATATTCGCCTTCCGAAACCTAGCGGTCAAAACTGAGCCTTTAGAGCCTCGTTGGTTCAAGTGTGGTTTGAGTCGACTCGAGCGCAATAATCCAATCGGAGTATAGCAAATAATGGCGATGCCCCGTCGACGAAGCCAACCTGCGATTGATTTTTTCCCTGTCACTAACTGCTAAGGGATCAAGGCGACCCGACGATTCCATCGCACACGACACATTCTAATGGATATTTCAAACTTTATTGTGTACACAAAGTATGCTAAGTACGTTTTCCCTCTTCCAGGGGCGTCATCTATCCACGGTGGGAGTCTTGCAGAAATAGAGACGGTAACAATAATTTCATACCAAAACACGAGTCGCTGGCCGGTGATTCCGGATCATGAACCCATCAGAGTGTATGCTTGAGTCGGTCAAGTATCCAGATTGATGTCGTCTTGATCCGATGCACGATCAATTGAACAGCTCATTCATGCTTTCGGTCATAGAAAATTACATAAATAGTTGTATTCTCTCCATCTCGGCTTATACATAGTGCACAACTCGTAGTTTCGCGGGGCTTCCTGCTCGGGACGAGATGCTATGATATAAATCGATCGACGTATTCTCGCTCGCTCGACCCAATCGGCACCCGGAACTACGGTTTTTTTCTTTGTCGTTTTTCACATCTCGACGAAGTCGTCAGAGAAGGCTAGGTCGACGATTGGTCTATCAGCCGAAACATTTATTCGGCTGCTCGTACAACATGGATCCGTCCGAATCATTCAAAGTGTAGACTTGCGAACGGTATGTTCGTCGCAGACCGGAATTTCCGTGTACTCGACAATTACTTCAATCATTATTAGATGTTGTTGAAATGCGTCGCTGTGTGTTTCGTGCACAGCTGTGACCCTGGCCAGAGGCATCGGTTCGAACCCAGGGGACGCAGAGAGGAGCTCATCGCAAGGATCTTAAGGCTTTTGCGACCAGTATTGCAGCGCTCGAACCAGCTGCATTCATCTTAGGGAATTTCGCATCAGTCGGTCGGTATGATTATTCGTTTAAGCTGAAAGTGCATTTCTTACGTTCGCATTCGTATCACCATCGACGGCCTCTACGCACCACGCCCAGATATCTATGAGAAGACCTCAATCTTCTGCGGACAATGTTTGTTCGAGATTTTTGATCGAGCGCTGCCTTTCGGAAGTTTAAGGTTCACGCTGTGCCGCCGTGTGGGGTCGAAACGATTAAACGCTAGAACGCGGCTCTGGTATTGTCCGCGATCAAACATGCCGAACAGCTGCGAATTCGGGAGGTTTCCGACTTAGTAGATCACACCAAATGCTAACTTCCTCGAATTTCAGGGGTCTACCGACGTGATAATGATTGATCATTAATCCGTGGATTGACAACATGGGACAAAGAATCGGCATCTTCCATCGGCGGAGCTGCGAGCCTTGGTAGACCATTCAAAGTCCCGTGAACGAAGAGCTCTATCGTTTTTCAGAATCCTTTCTGCTCGTTTCGTTTCGGTACGACATTATCGACAGGAAGGTTGTTCTCTTGTGGCTTCGAATTGGCCCCTGATATGCGTTCACACTGCCAAAACAAATGGCGGACGAACAGACGGGCGGTCGAACGGGAGGACGAGGGAGCGGGCAGGTTGGCAGTCGGGGAGACAGGTGAGCGATCGGACGCGTAGACAGGTGGGCGCTCCGACCGGAAACCGATACCCACTGTGGACCTTGGTCCTAAGGGTCGGGAGTCGGGACCGGTGGGCAGACGCCATCTCGATCGAATTGATTTTCCTCACACCATCTAATAGATGAAGGTCTGAATTTCTCTTTGCCTCGATCGCTCGCTTTACGTTCTGTTATCGAGGAACGGAATCCATCCGACTTGCAATCAGTATCTTTATACCGCTACCCATCAAGCATTATCAAAAATAGACGTGATTCGGGCAGCGATGCTTGATGGCTCTCCTTCGCTTGCGAGATGCGCGATAGGTGAAACTCAGATCGACTCAAACGGAACCGAATGAAAAAAAGCTGCGGCGAGAGCAGGGAAAATGAAGCTGAATAGTTTTGGGAATAATCGATCGCAGGTTTCGCGAAGCTTTCCAAGCGAAAAAGTAGTCTCTCGGTGGTCCCAGTAATGGATGACTCGTTGATTGATCTGATAGACTGCGGTACGGGCACATAAACCTCGACGTTGCCCGTTTTCCGTATCTAGCCAGCTTCCTTCCGATGCTATGGAAGACTTCTCAAGGGGACATTTCGTATCTCGGTAGACATTGCGGCAAAAACTCGAACCGCAAGTCGATCCTCGTAACGAATCGTCCTCTACTTCGAGTGTCATCGGAGAAAGATTGTCTCGCAATCGTTGTCACCACAGCGCCGAAAAAAACCGTGGATGATTAGAATCAAATCTTCGGTACTTGAAGTGTGAATTGTCTTGCAGTGCCCGCTTGGTCCTCTTCCTCCGCCGAGCTGGAGGCTATAACCGCTGGTCGTACGCTATCCTTGTTCAGGTAGTGTACAACATAATGCTGTACCAAATCATAGCAATACTTGTATTCGGTCTGGAACGAGAAAGACGGAGGAGAAAACGTCAATACCTCCCTAGAATTGCGGCATACACTTCCGGGAGAATCCTCGGAGGGAGGTCTGCCTCCGAGAAACTCACCATGTTTTCCACCAGTTGCACTCTGTGACGGCGCACCGTGCGAACTGCTTGAAAGACATCAATCTCTCCGTGCTCGATCACCTGTTCTATAGCTACGTTGGCGGCGCAGTAAACACCTGCGCGGCTCTTGCCTGCAAAGATCCGTAGCTCCGTTATAGAATCCGGAGTGAGAATGCGCACGTCCATAAAAACTCGCAGCGCTTCCCGATGCCTGAATTCGTCCGTTGTGGATTGAAAAGTTGATACTGGGACGGAATAAATCAGTTTCTCCTCGTCTTCATGGTCCGCGGGACCAGAGGAGTAAATGAGGGATCTATCCACATAGAGAATTTTCCCGCCCGATGTATGTAACCTCGAACCTACCATTCTGGGAAATGACGAGAACTGGACCATAGGTAGTTCTCTGTCTCCAGCGTTCTACCATGTTCATCATTTCGACCAAGGTATTCGTAGATGTGGGAACCCTGTGACCTTCGGGCCAGCATGTAATCTGGAAAAACTGGCAGGTTTTCGGTTCAGCTTTGACTCCTGCCATCAATTCGGTAAGAGAGACGACCTGCAATATGCCGAAAACCTTTGAGATCGGAGCCGCCGGGCGTCGTCGACGCAAAATATTGAGCCAGGTCGCGTTTATAAGCATTTTTCATCATTACCTTTTTGTTTATTCGGAAGATCCAGGATCTGATCTTCTGATAGTGCGAGTAGGATACCACGTCAACAGTAAACACGGGTCCGTACTTCATTCGCTTATCTCGTTCCGTCGGCCAGAACGCGGGGAAAGTCTGTGATGAAAAAACCCTCTGTCGCAGCATGAGCATATTCAGAGATAACAAATTGCCCTGCGCGTGTCGAGCTCCTTGTACACGCTGAATGCGTCCTCGGTCGTTCAGACGGTCGCTCCGTCGGTCGGTCGTCCGGCCGACCGATTCGTTTCCCGTGAGCACCGAGTTCTCTGTCATTAAACTCAAGGCAAGAAGAATACCTTCGCTGAGATGGTTCTGCAGTGCGGCCAGGGAGGGATGGAGCTTGCATTCGAAATGACTCGCTCGGTATTTATTCTATTTGCGAGGAAGCGAGCGGGCCCGCATTCAGTATTCAGGGACAAGCTACTCACGTGAGATGGAGGTGGATCGCAGAGGATCACCACGGCGTTACAGCCGTGATCATAAATTAAAGACCAGACATCTTGTGCGGTGCTCTGGAGGGGCCATTCCGTCACAATGTATTCTTTCGATCGAGTGTAGCCCTGCGTGCCGGACAACGTATGCGATATTAGTTATTACAGACTTTTTCCCTAGTTCCCGCTTTCGCGTCGGCTGTCGTGAGCTCCCGAGACAACGCCCCTCCTCTTTCGTCTGACCCCTCCTCGTCGTCACGCGAAAGCTTCCGAATAGAGGACTTTATTCGATCTCAATGTCAACTCACGTCTACAAATACCGAGTTGATGTAGTCAGTGTTGTCATTGCTTTGAAAAGTGGTGAGGTAGGGCCGGAAGTTATCCGCTGGAAATAGCGAAGGGCTCCGTTAGTTTCGAAGCTCTCTCCTGATCACAAATATGGAACACTGAAAATATTTTTCTGAACCTACGCGGAACTGTGGTAATATCGCGATTCTTCTCTCTGTTTTCGGGTCTATGCCCTCCGGCGCAATCACCGATCGACAGCCGTGTGCTCATTTTGCAAATTTTCTGACGGGAAAGAGAGACTTTGACTACGGCTGTGCGTTAATTTCGCATATCATCTCAGAGCGGGGCTGATAGGTCGCCCTATTGGGATTGCATGGATCGAAAACTCACAGCGTACTCCCTCTGGTATTCGTTGACTCTAGTGATGGGGTTTTTCTGCGACTTCTGTTTGAACTTGTGGGCTATCTCAGTGACACTGAACCAGGTCTTGCCGCACATCAAAGCTTCGTCTAACGTGTCGTAGATGTACAAATACTGCTCCTGTAACGATGAATACCCATTCGTTTGAGAGAAGTGCACTCTCCACCCTGGTACATGCGTTCAAGCGGAATTTAATCTCAGCCTGCCAGCAGATTCCGGTGAGGAGAAGGAAAGATGGCGTCCCCGTCTATTCCGAAATCGGAATTGGCCTCGGGGAAACTTGAGATTGTGGTATAGCAGTCTGCTTTGAGAGTAATCTTCAGCCAAAGAAAAGCGAGTCAGCCCTCGGAAATGGAGGAAGGTCAGAGTAGAAACCGTGCTCCGTATTCACAGAGAAAGCACCCGGAAACGCTGGGAATGAGCCAGTGTTTGACAAAAACGAAGAGCCGAAAACTCTCTCAAGCTTTGAAACGCGATTGCGCCGCAATGTCCGCATGGCTTTTGCGCGAAACAGATTGAAGGTCGACGATTACCGCAAAAAGCGGAGGATTCAGCTCTTCTTCCGTTCGAGAGCGAATAGTTTAAATAGGGCTCACGGTTGTGGAGGAGAGAGGAAACGACTAAGTAAGTCTCGGGGAAAGTAGAGGCGAGAAGGAAATAGAAAGAGGATGAAACCTCTAACGCTCGCTCATTTGCACGGCAAGACGTAAGAGATAACCAAACGGGAACCGAATGGCCCCCCGGGCCTTTATCGGAACTCGGAGTCCGCACATTCCTTCATAACGACCACTGACTTCGCTTTTCCTGCGCGGAATAAAATCCATTCTCTCCCGGAGGCACGTGCCACGGCCGCCGGCAGGCCTCGGGCAACGTCCACGGAGAAAGCGCATCGTCATGACATCACAGTTTCTCGGGAATTCTCCCCCCCTGAGCGTCTTTGAAATTCCCTCCTCTGACGGATCGCAGTTGGTCGCAGAAAGTGTTCGGGCCCGGTGTTTCCTTCGGTGTTGCTGGGAACTCCGAAAGAGATTCAGAACCCTCTCGCGACCGACTGATAGAGGGGAGGTTTCGTCACGGATTCATGAGTGAAGAATTGAGACAACACAGAGGGAAATAGGGTCAAGTCATCGGGAAAAACTGGAAAATCGCTGTTCGAAGAAAAGAAACGATCTCCCTTCTGCTCGGAATCGAGGAATGATTCACTTTCGGCTCGACATCGTGCACAATCCATCTTGGCGTTTTGCTCCAGCTGTCATCAACATCTTCAGTCGCCGACGTCGCCTTCGTCGTCGACGTTGTTGAAGCCTCTAAAGCGAGCCTCTTGCCACAACCCCCTCCCTCGATGGTCTCGCACCGCATTGAATCAATTCGGAGTTTTCAGCGACAAACTGGGGCCTTTCTGTGTCTCATCTTTTTTCCCTCTGACTTTCTCCTACTCAATAGACGGACACCGAGAGCTGTGTTGCTGGAAAGCACATTCTCATGAAGCCATCCATTCGGGAGATAGCGTCACTTGGGAGAAAAACGGAGTTTTCCGGACGATGCGCGACCGCACCGAGAGCCGCCCAGCTAGCCGTTCCCACAGAACGCGACCGTCCCGCGGAATGCTCACCATTGATTCGACCATGCCTTTGCGAGCGGATCGTATCAACCTCAAATAGGCCAACACGTCATAGACGGCTTCTTCCTCGGCGAGCTCCAGGTTCGCGTCGATGGCCAGGTAAGTACCGGTTCGGCCGCAGCCATCACTGCAGTGTACGATGAGAGGGGCTGTCGAGTTATATTGCTGGCACACGGCCTTGACCCTGCGACGGAAATCTAGCAACGCGTTCGAGAACGGTTGTGTGTGAATGGGCCAGTTAGTGAAGTGGAACTGGTGAATTTGTCGCTGTTCGCTGCCCTGAAATCGTGGGAGATACTCGCTCATGAACTATTCAAGCCAGGAACGAGAGCGAAGGCGCTCGGATGAGCCGATGCTGCCTTCCACTCGACTCGTGCTGATAACGATTATCAGCTCGGCCTCATAGTCTCGTAGGAAGCGCTATCGAATTCTGAGCTCACCTGTTTGACCAAGAGGGCCCTCAAAGTGAAGTTCGCTAAGGTATCCTCCCGCAGTAGAGTGATCGTGATGTTACCATGTTCAACTACCCTACGATTTTCTGTGGGCCAGTATTGAGTGCACATGACCCGAACGAAATCGAACACCCGAGTCAGCATCACCACCACGCAAGCTTTACTCTCCCAGATCATGCGCCAGAAATCGGTCACTGTTTCATCGTTAGGTCCTGTAAGGGAGAACATAGGATTTCAATCCGGGGAAAATTCGCGTCGCCCCCTCGTCAAGGGGAATGCACGTCTCATGATGCATGGATCGCCATGAATCGCCGAGAAGACGACCGGTCAGCGATTCCGGACGAAACCTCGAACTGAACAAGGTACCGCACAAAATCTCCGACCTAGATTTCGGGTCTAATGGGCTCCACAGAAGTCCAATCTAAAATGACATCGTAGGTACATGAGGGTCTTCTTCCCTTCCCCGCCCCTTCTCCATCGACCGGGTACAAAACGCTTTCGGATCTCGGTGCTCCAATGTCTGGGCGACTTCCTTCAGAATGAGTTCAGCTCGCTCTCGGCTCCAGGGAGAGCGGAGAAGATATCCGTTTAGCGAGCTCTATATTTTGCCATAAATTTCCGACTGACACGTGCTCTCGATTCGTGGAACGACGGACCTTCGGTAATGGGAATGAACGGAATGTCGCTTCCGCGGTAGAAGTCTGTTGGCTCTCCGATGTCGGTGACAATTTGCTCTTGAAATCAAGTCCCGCCACAGATGGCCTCGTTTGGCCGCCGACGATTGCTTTGCTCATCTGAGCCAATTTTGTTCCCAAGCGGGCAAAGGCTTTTACTTTGTGTGCTCTTGTGAGTTGCTATCCGCGAGCGAAGAGTGGACAGTTTCCACGGGGGAAGAAAATAAGGGCAGAACCTTGGTAAACATGGTTGTCGAAGCGCGATTTGTTCCCCGTCAGACTGGTATTTCGTTCGACCCCGACCGTAGAGGGATTTTAGAGTTTGCGAGTGCCTAACCCTTTGTCTGCGCCGAGGTTACCATATACAAAACTCACCCTGGGCAGCAATGTACGCATTTGGTCGAAGGAGGCTCTGTGGAACAACGAGACGATCTGTTAGTGTTTCAAATATCTTTAGATGATCTCCCACGCATATGCAGACCCGGCGCAGCAGCAAAGATCGCTCACTCGTCAGCGAATGTTTGAGATCTATGTGGAACACTTACGTCGATGTAGGTGGCATTGATGTAATCGGAGTCCTCCTGATCATCGACAGTGGACAACACAACCCTATTGTAGTCGTCTGAAAGGTGAAAATCCTTTTTGAGTATCCGAGGCACCCCCGAGTCGAGCGAGCCTTCGGTATGGATGGACGAGCTGCTGGGGTACGTATTTTCTCTCAAGGTTGACCGCGGATCTGGTGGGCATTGAGTTGGAATTCGCATCGGAATTCGCAAGGCGGGCTCGCGCGAGCCCGATCGGCAAACAGAGCGAATAATTGTTCTTTCGCTTGCAGAGCCGGAGAGCGAAGTTCGGACCACGTTCTGCCTTTCTCCTTGGGCGAATTAGCGAGAACCTCCAAACGTCTGGCTGCGCATTGAACTCTTCTCTGCGGGCACGGAGTAATCGGCGAGCGGACGGAAAAACCGATGGACGGAGTGACTTCCGTACTTGAGTAACCTTTCAAAGCGGTCGCCTCAACTAAAAGCTCCACGTGGTCACGCTCTACGAACTCATGTACCTAGCGATGTTTGGAGAGCTTTCTACCCATGCCTCCGGCCGACAGAGACCACGTACACGCAGCCTTATGTGCCTACTTGAGAGAAGAGCAGAAGCACTTACATGGCAGTAATTTTTTGTAAGTATTCTTCAGATCATTCGCCGGTTTGTTGGCATGCCGTTGCGAATGGGTGTCGGCTTTGGTGGCCAACTGAAATGAATGTTCCATTATTGCTCTTGGAGGGAACTCGAGCCGACGGAACGCTCTCGAGCGGAGTATCGACGGCGTGGCGGCGGATGCTAATGATCGGAAAAAAGGAACCTACCATGAACTCCGTTCGAAGGAGATGTTTGTTCTTGTGAAGCAGTTTGCAGTGTCGTGAAAAGTCTGTGAAAGCCAAGGCTTTCTTCGGAACAAAATAGGTTCCTTTCGATAGCGATGCGATCCCCACATTGATGAATGATTGGTTCAGAGCGTTGATAGGATCGAACGTTGTTGTCCTTTTGCGACGGCTCCTTTTTGCGCTCCGACTTAGCCTGCCGGACCGCTTTGTCTTCACGGTTACAGGCATCTGCAATTAATGTGAGAATCAATTGGGGGCGAACGGAAAAGTCGCACCTAGTGTCACTTGGGGGTGTGATCAGAAATGTTGCCCATTTCGAACGCCGCTCTTGTCAAGCGATGTGGGAGGGCTTTTCACTCTACGATCGGCGGAGAATCAAGTATTCGCCGGGAACGGACGACAGTGGGGAAGAATGGCCGGGCATGTTCTTGAGCCTCCTCTACGTCGGGGGAGATAATTAGGCAGGAATATATACGGTGACGTGAAGACCTCGCTGAGGGAGAAGGAGATGGGGGCTGTAGGCGGCGGAGAGTATCTCATCGCTATTCATGAAATCAGTGTGGTTGGCAAGGGGGGGAGGGAGGCTGCCGTCGCCTGACCGGACGAACTCAAGCGCTAGGAGGTGGTAGCTGGATGCCACAATGGAACGTCATCGGCAGACGTGAGTCCCTTCTGTCTCCTCCTCCCCTCTACAGCCCCCGGGTCGTCCGCATGCCTCTCAGATCAGACCATATACAGCCATGGGTGGTGCGGGGAGCCACTCACTCCTGACGGGACAGACTTCCATATTCGAAGTCCATCGGCAGCGGGGCCAGATCATGCAACTGGTCCTGCTTCATAAACAAAGCACAAGGTCACACGGGGTGAAACCGCTGGGTTGACAACCGGGCCGATGATCTTGGCTTCACCGACACGATCGAGGGAACTCTTGTGAGAAAAAATGCGAACCGCTGGCTGTGATCAGTGCCCTCCAAACGAGCTGCCACAGCTACGAACTGAACACGCTCCTGAGCGGGATTGTTCGAAGTTTCTCCCCGCTCATCCCGCTGCAGCGGACCATTAGGCTAACGCTGGTGGCTGGGAGTATTTTCATTAAGTCATTGATTCTATCAGCTGCAGATGTTCTAATGACGAATATATGCTGAAGAGCGGCAACGGTGGAAGGTAGCCAAGACGACGCTCGTCCTGATCCGAGTGCAGGAAGTGCGTCCCACAGAATGGTGTCCCATGAATAAGCGCTAGGAAATCAATGAGCGCGCAAAAGCGCGCAGAGCTCGCGCAGGATATGGCAAGAGCCACGCCGCCCTCCGAAGACCCCGCTTAGAGCTTCGATCCTCTCTGCTACGCGCTGTGACCAGATATATTTTGTATTTATTTATTGTCTCCGCCGTTCCCGCATGCCCGATATCTGTCGCATCCATTCCAGCGATGCTGAGGACGGTGAAATTCATGCGCAAAAATTCGTAATGCACGACGAAGTCGCGGGCGTCCGAATCGTCACCGATAGTTTCTCGCGAGGCTCGATGCAGCCGGGAAACTGAGAGATTAAGACACGGGAGTCCGGAAGATCGCACTCTGACTCACGTTTTTCGATGTGTCCGAATCACCGTGTGGTGAAACGTCGTCGGAAGAAGCACCTGTAGATCTTGAAGTATGAGGTGTTGGAGAGTACCGCTCCCGACTGGCTATGCCGTCCGCTTTTGCGGAGGCCTGGGCCGAACCGAACGCGCTCTGGCTATGGGCCTCAGCTTGGGAACTTGAGCCCGAGGGCTCCAGCTAAATTAGCCTATTTCCCTCCGACCCGATCCTATTCTCCTCCGCTCCCCAGCTTCCTTCCCCAGAAACTACGGAGGCCCAGCTCTCGGCCAACCGTCTAACGTAGGCCGTATTCACGAGCACATCACTGTGTTTCCTGCAATGGGAGACGGGGAAATTAGTGCTATGGAGCAATTTCGTCCGCTAACAGAAATGGCTCGAATAAACATCTGTGCTTCAAACTTGTACGGTTCGTTATTGGATTAGGACAATGTGAAGCCCCTCACGACTCTCGACATACTTCCGACCTTCGGCGCGTCAAAGGACAACAAGTTCCCTTGCTGCGTCGTCGTGGGGTCGATGTCGCGGAAGTTGCTACGCCTAGACACGTTCGGAGTCACTGTCTGGCTTCATATTAGAGTTTCGGCTGCCATAGCACTAGTTCGAATCAACTTGTGACTCGCTCAATCTAGCCTCGTCTGAACTCTCGCGCCGAGGGATCGAGACGATGCCGGATGAAGGTTATTCAAGAACGAATTCAAGTTGGTGACTTTCACCGGAACTTACAGCCCGGCAAACCCGCGTGTCTTTTGGGTAACCCGGAGCTGTCAAGGAGCTTGAGACCTGATGCGTAGCAGAGCACCTTGAAGAAAAACCCGCCCTGGAAACCTTCAGCCCCTGAACGCTACAGCGAGCTCATCGGGGTACCCTGGCAGTCAATGACCCGGGAACCAGAGACATCATTAGACAGCGTGTGGTGTCCAGCATCGATCGTACCTACCATGAGTGTTCATGACAACAACCAGACCAGGACCGAAGGAACAAAGGGTAAGTCTCCGACGCGCTTGTCTTTCTCTCGACGCTCCTTGCGACGAACAATTTACTGATGGAGAGGATCTGTACTCGTTCATCGGAACCTCATTTTCATTCAATTACGACTCGGAATCATGATCCGCTTCATTTTATTTCCGCAGAATGTTGGATCCTTTCCTGAAGGCGAACCCTCCGAGTTTCTCGATGTCAGATTAGCCGCGGGAGTGAGGGAACGCTCCAGATTCGGTTCGACGGATGCCGACTCTGCACAAGTTCGATGGGAGGAACGCAAAACTTGTTCGTTCGAAATAAGCCCTGCACGGTGACCTCGCAGACAAAGCTTTCAGAAGTCCTCACGAACCCGTCTGGAGATAGTCACTAGCGGTTTTTTGTGGCCGGGCAACTCCTCAGGCATTCCTGGTACTGGACGTCCCGCCTCACATCGGCCGCCCGTTGGTCGGCTCAACTCTTCCCCTGCCAGGTCAGCTGTTGTTTATCGGCGATTTCCCGGAGATGTGATATTGAGTGTTCCTCTTGATAAGGCTCAGGAGTCAGGGACCTACGGCCAGCTTCGTCTGCATCGCTCGGATTGATCCTTGTAGAGGGAAGGCTCCTTGTTCACATGAGTTCGGTCGAGATAAGCAAACGAACGAATGAGAATCTTTTCCATGTGAGGGGAGAACATCTTTTCCACTTCACTTATCTCGCTCCGCCTCGAGTTCTTCCCCGACAACTCTCGGCGGACTCCCTGAGTCATATCCAATGGCAGACTTCTTGGTGCCGGTCCCGATTACCAGCATACCTCGAACACACGGTGCCGCCTTCGGATGCAGCGAACGTTTTTGATATTTTTAGGATGCGGCCTGCAACAGTCGAAAATTGCCGCAAGGCTCCTGCCGCCTCGAGGAGCAAAGGATGGAAGAGATCTCGGCCAACACAGCCGGGCAGAATGCTACTTCGGCTGCGGCCGCCGCAAACTCCGGCTCGTGTAAGGCCCGAGGCGATGGAAGAGAACCAACGATTCGGCGCGTTGCATGAACCTAATCGTTGGCTAGCTAGCGATTTCTGAGAGCGTTCACAACCAAGTTGTCCGTTACCATCCGAGAGATTTCATCGTCGTCATCGTCGGCAGCGACGGTTCGACCTTGGCGGGCTTCCCGTCGTCATTGGCTTCACATAACACGCGCAATTCTCTATCGAGTGAGGAAAAGAATGAATGGTATACCACCACCACTACCACCACGCAGCCGAGAGCTCAGCCGTCTGCCTGTCGCCGTGCCGAGTCTATGACGTGCCCGAAAGCTACCCAGCAGCGGCAGTAACGACACCACAGCAGCAACAACAACAGCAACGACAACAACAGCGAGAACGGCGATAGGGGTGGGAACTCGCTCCTTTGGTAACTGAGAATTACGGCGAAATTAAGGAATCTGGTGAAATAAGGGAAAACGAACACATGAAGGATAAAAACATTCTGTCGGCGAGCAGCGGCTGACCTGAAGATTGTATGTCGTCGTCGTCGACAACGCCAGAGAATTACACATGGTGCGGCGATCAATAATTGAAGCGCTGGACTGCAAGATGAGCGTCTTCATTCTTAATTCCCGTGATTCTTCATAAATCGGAGTTTCCACAACGTGCGGTTCGGACGCCTCTCCAGTGGAAAACGTCTCTCGTCGTGATATGCGCCCAGGATCGTCTCTGCTCGAGGCAATTGGAGTCGGAGCAAAATGACGAAGAAAGACGAAAAAGAGCCGTACTAGACGTTTATCTGCCGTCTCGCGAGAATAAGGGAGATATTGTCGTCAGTGATGCACGGGCACGCCGTCGGCCGACCACCTTCATAGCGTGGTCGACGGCCGCGCAGTTATCTGCGGCCAGCTAGCTCGTGTCTTCTCTTTTCCTGAATCATACGGACGGAGGCACGTTCGTTCGTATGAGGCTCGGCGGCTCTTGTCGCTCGTCGCGTAGAAAATGTGCGGCTTTTGAAAAATTAACACCGCACATACGATCAGCCATCCGGTTACGCCCGTCGTCCGTCCGTGTGAGGTCGCTGACTGCTGCAGGCCGCCGTGAGTGAGCGCATTCTTTCGTTCAAGGACCGCTAACGTGGTTGGGAAAGGCCCCGCACAAAGCCGGACTTTGGCTTCGCGCCAAATTCATGACAAACGTCAGAATGCGCTTCCCTCCATTGGTCCCCAGCCACAGTTGGTCAGGTTCGACTGAGGCTTATCAATAGGACGTATCCTGGAGCGTACCTATGAACGTCAGTCCGGAAAGCGAGTATGTAGACCATCGTTTGACTGAGGTCGTGTCGACATGAGCGGTGAGACCTTGGGGAACAACCTACCCGAGCCTGTCCGTGGTGCTTTAATTACATGAGGCTCGGTCCGGATACTCTCCGCAACGGCTCGCTTACTTATTGAGGCAATAAGTGTCTAATCGCGAAAGATTACGCCAGTGATCAGCTGCCGCCCGACTGAGCGACACGGTGAGCGGACTTGTTCTTCAGGCTTCCTGGCGTCAGAGAGAGCGAAACGAGCGAACTTATTGCACAGAACATGCGCACAGCATGAAAGGGGAGAAGGTGGAACGCTCATCACGGCAAGTGACGATATGGCCATCGGAATGATGCTTGAAACCCTGTTCTCAAAGAAGCC